ATTCCCTTTAAATATGAATACTCATAAGGTTAACATGGGGAACTACAGAGCCACTGGGGCGGAGCCCGAAGGGATTTTTGAGATAAGAATATGCCTATATGTTAATCGGGAATGTGAGCTATCATCATGCCAAATTTCAGCCCAATCCATCCAGTGGTTTATGCGTGATTGACCTTCAAACACACAAACAAACAAACAAACACACAAACTTTCACATTTATTTTATTAGTAAGATAATATCTTCTAATATATAAAATTCTCGTGTCACAGTGTTTGTCTGCAAACTCCTCCGGAACGACTTCACCGATCGTTATGAAATTTGGTGTGTAAATTCTGTAGGTATGCGAATAGGAAGTAAACTATTTCCCGTTTCGAAATTCTTAAAAGGGCTCCGCCCCAGTGGCTCTGGAGTTTCCCATGTTAACCTTATGAGAAATGGAATTAATGAATCTTAACAGCTGTTTCAATTAAACAAGTTGGTTCTGTTCTATGATGTTCAATAGCATTAAAGTTACAAGGATTACCAACAGGGTGCAGCACTATTATTTCTTTTACATTTATGACAACAGCTAATTTGCAACCAAAAGGTGAGTGAGCGTAGCGAACGAACTTCAACCTGGAAGCGAGTTAGCGTAGCGAACGAGCTAACCTGAAGGCAAGTGAGCGCAGCGAACGAGCTCCAACCTAAAGGTGAGTGAGCGTAGCGAACGAGCTCCAACCCAAAGGTGAGTGAGCGTAGCGAACGAACTTCAACCAGGACGTGATTGAGCGATGCGAACATCTAACCTGAAGGCAAGTGAGCGCAGCGAACGAGCTCCAACCTAAAGGTGAGTGAGCGTAGCGAACGAGCTCCAACCCAAAGGTGAGTGAGCGTAGCGAACGAACTTCAACCAGGACGTGGTTGAGCGATGCGAACGAGATCATCTTGAAAATTAAACGTAACGGTACTTAAATTAAAAATAGTCAAAGGCAAGACAACAGACAACGTCTGCCGGGTTTTCCATCGGTCTGTCTTAGGGGAAACCTATAACTTAGGCGATACGAAGTTCGCCGGGTCAGCTAGTATTAATATAATATTATTGCCAATGTACGCTGCACTTTATGATTGTCTCTGAGAAAAAACATAGAATTATTCTGAGATTAAAGTCAGGACGCGGAAAGTAGGCTTCGTTTCTGAAAAAACTAAAAATTCTGAGTTTCAAGTCAGGAGTTAGAATATAACTATTAGTGGGCGTTCCCCTCTGGTAAAGTCAGAATTTAACAAGTGCGTTCATCTCTGTGGAACAAAGTAAGAATTCTGAGATTAAAGTCAGAATTGAACTTGGTGTGGGCGTTCCTCTCTCAAAATAGACTTGGAATTCCTAAGTTTAAAGTTAGGCGGAAAGTGGGATTCCTTTGAGAAAAAAGTTAGAATTATGAGTATAAAAAGTCAGAAAACATGAAGGCCAGATTTCGGCTCCTAAAATACTAAATTTTGACCAACAAACACGTCATTTCTACCAACAACACGAAATCGTTACTTTTAATAACTAAATTTCTACTTTAAAAACCCCGAAATTTTGAATTAAAATACAAAGGGACTGTTCTAGTTCAGTTAAACGTAGATTCGGCGTGAACGCGGGATGTTGTAGCTCGAAGTTTCAACAAGACATTGACGTTTAAGCCCAGAAAACATCGATGTTTTCGCAACAATGCTATCGGCACATCGACGGTTGACCTATCGATGCTCATCCCTCCCTCCCACCCCACCATACTATCATAGACAAAAGAATAAAATAATAAAAAAGATTAATTCTTTTGTCTCTTACTATGTTGTTTAATTTATTATGTCCCTGTGACCACCACTGCCACTACGTACGTACACCACAAGAGTGGAAGTAGAGTACTGTAGTCCACTACCATTGACTATATAACACTACTCTATAGTGTTATATAGTCAATGCCACTACTCTCCAAGAGTGGAGAGTGTGTAGTCACGGCCACCTGGAGTCTGGAGTAGTAAGGACTAGAGAGGGTAAAGCTCAATTCTGACTTTAATCACAGAATTTTAACTTGTTCACAGGGAGGAACGCTCACTATTTGAATTATGACAAGTTTTTTTTCATTCCACCATGAGTCTAATCCCTTTTATGCTCTACTCATATACTCCACTCTTGTGGTGGTCACAGTCCCATAATAAATTAAACAACATAGTAGAATAGACAAATGAATTAAATTTTGTTATTATTTAATTCTTTTGTCTCTATGTTAATCGATGTTAAAACATCGATGCTAACAAATTCCAACGTTCACGCCGAATCCACGTTCAAATATCACAAACTAGCGTATAGTTCATCTGCATTTGAACTACAAATTTTAAGGATTTTTAAGTAAACATTTAAGGATTTAAGTAAACACGACGTGATCGGGCGAAAGTTAGTCTAGACATAACTTTCACCCGATCACGTCGTGTCGTGTCCCGTAGCTTGTACAACATTTAGACCTATAGCAATGAATACGGTTGTATTCATAGACTTTAGTTTATAACAGTTTATTTTGTTTTTTTTAAATAAAACACAAGTATTTAACTACTTAAAAGCAAATCAAATTTTATTATCAACTAGCCGCTATGCCCGTGCCTTGTAACGGGGTCAAGATGCGGAAGAGACAATTTTTGTTCCTTGAAAATAATGGTAAGCAGCTTGAGAACGCTAAATAGAACAATTATTATGTTCCCTAGATTTGCTGTATGTAGTTAGACTTTTATTAATTTACTATTAGTATTAACTGGCTACATAAACATAACTGTCAAAAATTCATCCATTCCATGTATCACAGCTTTTTGTTTATGGTTGGTAAAAATTTGCTGCTGTCATAAATTTAAACAATACTTTATCTATATACTATGCTTAGGGGGATTCTTTAATTCCATTTAAATATAAGTACTCTTAAGGTTAACATGCGGAAACTCCAGAGCCACTGGGGTGGAGCCGATTGAATGGATGACGAAACTGATGGTGTATAAACGTATTCCATGAAATTCTACACTTATGTACCAAGTTTCGTGGCAATCAGTTTAATGGTGTCCGAGATTATAACGGTTAAACATACAAACTTCCTCTTTTATAAATATAGATAAAATAATTTGACACAAAAGTACAAAAGGTTCTATTTAACTATATTAAACTGGTAGGTTCAAAATAAATTACGTAAAATTTATACACGTGTACAATTTTAATGCTTCAATAATTCATAAAAGTAAATGACAAAGCAATGCTTCTAAAAAAATCTGCATGTTTATGTATATATATATATATATATACCCCGCTGCAGCAAACCTGCAGACTTAGCGAATTTCCATTTGCCTGATTGGATTTAAACTTAAATATCTCCTTAAAATATCACAATTATTCCCTATTTAAAAGCATTAGTTTAACGAGTACTTAGGTTTGCTGCAACAGGGAGGGTAAAAAAGGTTTTTTTTATGTAAAATGTTAAAAGGTACTGTAGTTAGTAAGAAATTAATGTATTTTCCTAATTTGATCAAAATATGTTCATAAACAAGCAAACTACAACTGTTATTCTCCATAAGAATAACATGGGAATTTTAAAATTACAATTTTTTTGAATTTTCTCCGCAACAATCAGGCGCATAATAACGCTTCAATATGCTAAATTATTTGTTTTTTTTAAGCTCTACAAAATGGTTTAGAAATAAATTGTGAAATTTTGTGTTTTTAGGGTCAAAAATGGGAAAAACCTATTTTTACCCCATAAAATCCCCCATAAACCCCCGTTCCCAAAGTCTGATCATACTGGTTCGCGAACTCATTCAAGTTTATCCCACATTACACCTTCAAACCAAATGTTATCAAAATCGGACAAAAATTACTCAAGTTCCCTATAGGGAAATTCGCTAAAACTAGAAGTAAGTGGTTGATGGTACAGAACCACGACCGCCTTTAACTCCAGGGGCCCATATATATATATATATATATATATATATATACATATATATATATAAAATCCAATGTATGAGTGTTTGTTTGTCTGTTTGGTTGTTTGTCCTTTATGGACTCCGAAACAGCTCGACAGATTGTAATGAAACTTTAAGGCATTATTAAGCATTACCCAAGGATGGTTTTTGTGAAATTTGGCGCAGATCCTTCTAAAGGGCTCCGCCCCAGTGGCTCTGGAGTTTCCCATGTTAATCTTATGAGTACTCATATTTAAATGGAATTTCAATGATTTGATCAACATGACTAGTTTTTCTATTGTGATGATGGCAGTGTTTAAAGAATCTTTTGACATACCACAATGTTGCATACAATGACCTGACGAAGTTCTAAGGAACGGAACTAGTTGTCATACCAGCAACTGTGGTTGGTTAAGGTAACTCTTCTATTTTACCAATTTTAATTCATATTGTTTCGGTTTTCTAATTCTATGTTTTATTTTCAATATTTTAATAAATGTATGTTCATAAATTTAAATCAATAAATTGCGAATTAATGAGCTAATGTCACCTGTCTCCCATGATATCATATGGGACGTCTGTCACTAAACAACACCACTTGCGACCCTGCCAATTCTACCAGGCCGCGGCCTGTAGTCAATGGTGGCCGTGGAACGCTCTAATAATAATAATCTATGCTATAGTTCGGCCGCTTAGAAAGCGACCTCCTCTAGCATTGGTTTAGCATTAGCGCACAGGTCGTTTTCTAAGCGGCCGAACTATAGTACCAATTTCTCATTGATTTGAGGCTGCAAATACTTTATTGAGTTGGCGACACTGATCTAATGCTTGACATTTTTGTGCAGAAACGTCAAAACAAAACAAAATCAAACCAATTGAATTAAGTAGAACAGAAGAAGGGCTGCAGCCGACAACTTCAAGAAACCCAATGTGCACTGTGCTTGCAGCCAATAGTAATTTTATTACAATCTAACCAAAATGCAACGCATTGAACTGAACGATCAGCTGTTGCTGTAGTAGTGAGTGATATAAATCCGTATCACAGTTTTGTCATCATTCATCGTCAACAGTGTACCAGTACCAGTTATTTCTTATTACCATCGGCTTGATTAGTAATTATTCATAATGTATAAGTTTCACAAATGCCTCAAATAATTTGCCTAGCTAACGAATAAACATAAAGATTTCAGTATTGTATCTTGAATTGTTTTGCATTGTAAGATGATAAATTAAATGGACATTCTACAGTCGAATCCTACATCAGGAGGCCACCAGAATATGTTTAAACCCAGGTCCAAAAATTGTACTAACAATGCTGTTGGGTTTCTGTATTATCGAGAGTACAATGACTCACACAGAGCTAAAAAACGATTATTAGACTCTCGGCTTAGCTCGGCCAAATCACTTTTCAGTAAAAACTTACTTGCTCATTTTGGATGCGTTAATGCAATTGAGTTTTCCAACTGTGGTGAATTTTTAGCATCAGGTGTGTTTATTGTAAATGTATGAATAGTCCTTTACATATTAACTATTATCTTCATATTACTGTATTTAACTCAAATAACTCATTAGATAATGTGACTTTTTAAATAGGCTACCTAAAGTCAATTAAGTTTAGTATGTAGTCTAGGCTAAGTTACATTTTTGTGTGTTTCAAATTTAAACTCAAGCTTCCCTCATAGAGGCGTCTTTAATGAAATATACTAGATCAACCCATAAGCTGTGGCCATTAAAGTTCTCATGTCAGGCCTATCTTATTCCAGCAATATCTTTGGCATTAAATCAGCTTAGGCTATAGCAAGATTTAAAAATACTTAGGCCGTGGCCACTGGTCCCCAAATGGTACTTGGCCTCGCCTACACTCTGCCTCCATCCTTTTTTTGGGCCTGTTCTTAATTTCTTCCCAGCTTCCTTAGGCCCAGTCGACTAAGGTGTAGTTTGTCCTTCCATCTGAATTTGCCCTGCCTGGAGGCCATCTGCCTTCTAACTTAGTTTTTTCCTCAAAACATTACTGATGGTGGTGTCAACGTCTTGTCTGAGGACAAGACCTGCCTACCCATTATACTGCTGACTTCAGCTATCTGGATCTTTGTACAGCTGTATTATTTCAAAACATAATTATGCTTTACTCTCCAGATCCAGTCTTCCTGGATTAGGCCACAGCCCAGCCTATATTTTTCTGAGAACTTAATTAACAGAAGTCACAATAGTCTATTAGGTACTGACTTTTTGCCTCATGCCCAAAACTCTACAACAATAAATGTCTAATTAATTAAGTTGTCAACTTAGTTTTGTAAACTCTTGGCTAAGATTTGTGTTTTAAGATAGAACAGTAAACTTACCTTTGAAATCCTAAATTCTGTTCTCATGTTTGTGGCATTTCATACGGTAACTACAAATTATCTCAAGTTACTCATTGTCTCTTTTCAACTGTGTTTACAACCAATTCAGGTTGTGTTCTTACTCTGTGATTATAACTCCCAGGCTTAGGTAAATTAAGTTAGTCCACTCTTAAAAAAAAAAACATGGTCATCTATGCAGTACATAGGGACTGTTTCCGTCTTCTATCAGGTTTAACGTTTAACAACTGGATATATTTTGTTTTGGCATAATTTGAAGGCACAAGAGGAACTACCTTCCTGTTAACAATGACCCAGAGGCCGCTAAGAAAGCCTACTGTATTCCTCTCACAATTCCTATTCAGCCTTAGGGACTCCATTGCTAAACTAAACCAGTTGTTGCCAACAGCATCCTCTTTGACTGTCTTAGTAACACTTAAATATAATGTTAAATCATGTTTACTTGCAATTTAATAGCCTACTATATTATTTTTCACTGAAATACTTAATACTTTTCATTGAAATGGCAACCATACAAAGTAGGTAGGTATTTGAACCCAAGTAAGAATGGAGATGTGTGTAGGATGAGTGGCGAAATCTTGTAGTCTTGTTAGTGACTAAGGCCGACGTATTCCATAGACACAGCTGTTAATTAATAACCCATATAGCTAAGGCAACTAAGGGACCTACAGTATAGTAGAAAGAATTGAAAAGATTTCAATACCGTATTTGTTTGATGATAAAGCCTTTCGATAAAAACATGAACTAAATAGTCTAACTTCTTATTTAAAGGTTAATTATTATACTGCATGAGGTTTACTCTTGGTTGTAGTCCCACAAGAGAATTAATGATTTAGAAATAGATACCTACATAATTTTGCAGACAGTTTTGCCCTACTTGAAAGAGCTCAACAACCATGAAATGGATGTTCACTTAATTGATTTTCTCTGGCAAAAGATGATTAAGAGCAAGAGCGTTTACTTACTTAGAGAAAAAAAACATATGAAAGAGCTCAAAGCCATGAGAAACCACCATATCATTGCATATCTTGTCATTGCAGGCGGAGATGACCGTAGAGTATTGCTATGGAATGTCCAAGAGTCATTAGAAGGAGCTGGACGCCCTACCGCTATGAGGGCTCAGCATATCAGTAACATCTTTTGTCTTGGATATGATAGTAAAAATACCAAGGTTTTTTCTGCTGGGAATGATGACCAAGTTATTGTACACGACACTCTCACGTTAGTAGCCTACAACTTTAGTCTTAGTACCTAATTTTTGTAGCTTTTAAGTTAACACATATTCACAGCCTAGTCGTGATAGTTATTAGTAGGTACCTAAAGATTGTTTTTAGGACTGATGTAAATGTTGTAAAAGTAAATCCTATTGTGATATGAATAGTCTAGTTGAACCTTGATTTTGCAGACTCTTCACAGTAATCTGGCTGGATCCCATTCCTAAAAAAATCATAGCTTAAGAGAAATATTAGTGTAGCAGGTGTATAATTTCATTGAGCGGAGCGAAGCGAAGCTCTTTAAGATCAACTTCAATGTAAGCTTTCCAACACATTAACTCAATAGCGGCTGAACATATTTTAGTCAAACTTACTAATGTTGTTTTGTCAAATTTTTGGATTTAAATTGAGTAATAATAATTATTTGGAAATATTTAAATATCTAAAAACATATTTCCTGAATGTACTGTGACAGTTAATAAATATGTCTATTTCATCATTATTGATTTAGTTGAACAGCCTAACCATTGAGTTGAGCGGTGAACACATTCCAAGCAGTGGCGGTTCTAGGACCTTGTCAAGGGGGGGGCTTCCGAGGGGTTTGGGGGGTGACCCACCAATTAGACAGGGGGGTCAGGGGGTCCTCCCCCGGGAAAATTTGGAATTTTCAAAGCCGTTTGGTGACTTTCTAAAGCCATTTTTAACACCTTAAACCGTGCCCAATTGTTCAAAAACTCCCATTTCACCTGTTGTTTGTCATGAACAAATAGACATTTTAAAAACTAAACTATGACGATAGCATTCATGAATTTCAAAACACACTGTAGACTACGGCCATATACTCCTAAAAGCCGTTGGGTGACTTTCTACAGCCAGTTTTAACGTCTAGAACTGTGTGCAAAACCTCCCATTTCCCCCATTTATTTCTCATGAATAAGTAGACATTTTTAAAACTAACTGACGATTGAATTCATATATCTCAAAACATTGTGGGCTACGGCCATATCCCCCTAAAAGCTGTTTACTGACTTTCTAAAGGCATTATTTATTTGTCTATAATATCTGTGCCCAACTGTCCATAAACCTCCCATTTCACCTGTCATTTGTCTTTGTCATGAGTAAGTGTAGACATTTAAAAAATCAAACTAGGCCTATGACGAACTTGCATCCATGAATTTCAAAACATAGGCCTACTGTAGACAACGAAGCCATATCTCCTTAAATCAGTTTGGTGACTTTATTAAGCCATTTCTGACAGCAAGAACTGTACCCAATTGTCCTAAAACCTTCCATTTCACCTGTTATATGTCATGCAAGCAAGTAGACACCTTTTTACTTTCTCCCCCTATACCATAGTATATGGAGAAAGTATTGTTTTCGTCAAAATTTTCGAGTTTGAGTTTTGAGTGGATATATTCGTTTTGGGTCCCCCCGGACCCAAAAAAGTGGTTTTCGAAATGATGTCTGTGTGTGTGTGTGTGTGTGTGTGTGTGTCTGTGTGTCTGGATGTGTACAGAGCTAGAGACTACACCTGTGGTCCGATTTCGATGCAATTTGGTATGTAGGTTCTAATCCATGGTATCTCCAGGCGTTTTTTTCATTTTTTTGAAATTTTGATTTTTAATGGGGATTTTTCCATAAAAACCCATAAAAAACCGGAAAAATAGGATTTTCTCAAAAATGGCCCGAACGATTTTGATAAAAATTTAGTATGTTGTAGCCCTTTAAATTCTGAACAAAATGGTACAAATCCCATTTCTGTAAAAATTACGGTTCAAAAGTAATGGTAAATTATGTTATTTTCCCATAAAAATCCCATAAAATAACGATAAAGGTTCGTTCTAGAGAAGTGGGGGGGAGAAGAGCGAAAGTGAATTGTCTCTGGGCAACGTGAACCGCACACGGGACAGCAGCGCTGCGTCGTCGAGCACATTGACACTTGTGGCAATGTTTTGAGATAGTTGAATGTAGAACACTTGATGAAAACAATGCTTTTCATAAAATGTTAAATGTACAAGATTTAAGAAGAAAAAACCTCGTAAGGTGGTTTAAACCCTCTGCCAGACACCCTTAAAACTTAGGTATGACGAAGATTAATTTTCGTCATTTTATAAAAGCTGAAATTGATGTATGTTACTTGGGGAGCTACCAAAAGACGTTTTCTCAAAAGCCAGACACTTTAAAGTTTGCCGTGATAAGCTTAACTGTTACCTGCAAACAGTAGATTCAGTTCCAGTTTGCCTTTGCCAAATGTAAACGGTGAAATTACTACTTTCTTCTTCACCAACCATATGTTTGATGTAAACATATGTTATATTTGCATTTAATTGTTTGTTTATTCCTGTAGTGTTTCGAAGTCACTGTTTGTAACTACTGTACCTACTACCTATTATATTACTACAGACTTTTAAAGTGTCTGGCAAGATAAAATAACCAACGAAAGTGTCTGGCTGTTGAGGAAATGTCTCTTCATAGCTTCCCAAGTAACATATATCAAATTCAGCTTTTATACTATGATGTAAATTAACACAATTACAATTGGAAATAAGTTGTGATTTCACCTTTGGCACAGAAACCTGTTCCAAACTGGAACTGAATTCACTGTTTGCAGGTTATGGTTAAGCTTATCACGGCAGACTTTAAAGTGTCTGGCTACATGAAGTAACCAATGAAAGTGTCTGGCTTTTGAGAAAACGTCTTTTGATAGCTCCCCAAGTAACATATATCAATTTCAGCTTTTATAAAATGACGCAAATTAATCTTCGTCATACCTAAGTTTTAAGGGTGTCTGGCAGAGGGTTTAAAGCGCACAAAGTGTCTGGCAATGGGGAAATGATTTCTAACATTCCTTCGAAGAAAATATGAAGAAACCAAGCTTTATACTATAACAATGGTTATTTGCAAATTTCAGACCGTTGTTACCTTTTTGTTGCCAAACCTAACCAAAATCCAAATGTCATAGTCGCCGATCATTCTTAACTGAACTGGGAGCATTTGCTGAGAAACTTTCAGCTTTTATAAAATGACGAAGGTCTGGCAGTCAGGGCTCTTGGGTTATTAGTCAGTAAATGTTTGTAGCACATGTTTCCTTAAACTTCAACTAAAATATTAACAGCAATTAAATTATCCAGCTGATCATAATGTAAACAAATGTTCTTCATAAGGATAACATGGGAACTTTAAAAGCCACTGGGACTTAAAAAAATTATGGTCAGTTTGCAATTCTACACACCTAGACAAACATTTTTGGATATAATATGTGGGGTTGAATCTTAAAACAAAAAGCCTTATTGTTCACAAAGTTTCATGGATAGATAGATAGATACTAAGGCTCGGTTCACACGAGCAACATACCTAGCCAACTAGGCTGTGACTAGGTAAGCCTGACTGGGTAGCGGACCACAGGATCAAATGGAGCCGTTCACACGAGCGTAGGACGCCGACTAGCTAGCTGTGTTCGAGCTTGGTGTCCCAAAACATAGTCGGGCCCTGCTTCCCAGTCATTCGTGTCAGCTACCCAGTAGCGTTATGGGAGCGTTCACACGACCGATCGGGTAGTCGCGCTTCAGCTCGCATTCTTCCCTTTGTTCTCATTGTGCACCAGTGGTGGATCCGAGTGGTTTTGATATCAATATTGCGGGGCCTCTCTTAATACCTGAAACACGGCTGTGCGGTATGGCCTTGTTCGCCTTTATGTAAGGCCGCCTTTGGATTGCAGTTTAATCTTCCCCCCAGTATCAGTAAAGGAGAATACTAAATTGAAACCTGTGTGTTTAGCTAAATTAACCATACTTGATACCCGGGTATTTATGAAACATGGCTATTCACCCAGTTATAAATACCTGGGTATTTTACATTCATACAAATCTACATTGAATTAAAATCATGCAAACAGAAAAACTGATATCATTATTGACTGCAAGTATCCGCTTGTCTGGTGGTTTCATAAATCATGCCTCTAGGTTGTGTTTAATCAAAAGAATGGTATCATAGACTATTATAGGTGTGCTTTTAGATAAATTGTAAAAACACCTAAGTAATAATCGTTTTGGTTCAGCTTTATTTCACTGCCATCCGATTATTTGGAAGTGCGTCGGCCAGGAGCAGTGGCTTCACATATGTTTCCAGGCTAATGTTGCCAAACTCTCATCAAATATTCCCTGCAAATCTGTGCCATTACACTACTGTTCCAGTTGTGGTCTTGTGAATCATTTTTTAGCCGTCGGTTACATAGTCCGTGATTAACAGATAACCACGGACTATGAAATCCTGAGATCGTGAACCACCTGTAAATGTTTGTTTAAAGTTTTATCTAAACCCCTTGTAACTAGGCTATTGTCCTCAACAAGTTATCCTTGTTAGTCGGTTAAAATATATTAATATGTTAATTGTTTCTTTTGCAGTGGGGATCCCATTGATTACTTTCTTCATGAACAACCTGTCTATAGCTTATCAATTGATCCTTTCAACGATAATGTCTTTGCAAGTGCTTGTGATGACGGCCGGATACTCATATATGACATTCGAGAGCCCTCCAATTCAGGTAATAGTTTTATTCAACATGCACAAAATGAGTGATTTAAATGTTGAAGTAGGTGAATGAATGACATTGAATTATCTTTTCAGATCCATTCACTTTAGCAGTATGCAGTTCAGCTTTTCATGGTGTCACATTTAACCCAATGGAATCACGACTGATTGCCACTGCAAATGCCAAGGATGGAGCAGGCCTTTGGGACGTACGGAAACCTAAAGAGTATGTTGCTTTGTATCATCAATGTCTTTAAGATTATAGTTACTATTTAAATAACTTCTTGATCAGCATTGTACGTGTTATTAAATTTACGGAAAGTAAATAAAGATACGTCTTATAACACTTAATATATATATTTACGCTTATACTGTTACTCACAAGACGGTAAATATACAAAAGATGGTAAGTGGTGATCAATTTCGATTGGACACTCCAATCATCATCAGACCCAATAGGCGAATGACAAGAATCTTGAATGGCGTCCCTACTTATACCCTATTGGCTACCGGAAACACCGGCCAATACATTTTTATAAGTACAACTGGAACTGGTGATGATGATTGGAGTGTCCAATCGAAATCGATCACCACTTACCATCTTTTGTATATTTACCGTCTTTTGAGTAACAGTATAAGCGTAAATATATGTATTAAGGGTTATAAGACGTATCTTTATTTACTTTCCGTAGTTCTATTTAAGAATATTATTTATTTTAGGTACATTGTTTTGTTGGTACTTTTTCAAGAACCTTTTAATAATAGTTAAATGTTTGCATAAATTTGGAATGTTAAAAACTTGTACTTTTGGTTAAGTTATAGTATTACTTTCATTTGATCAAAGTGTTTTAAATTCAACCCTCCGATGGTGACACCACGGAGTTTTCCTACAGGCGTATTTGTTTTATAGAAAAATATGTAATATCGCCAGCCGGCAGCTTAAAGAGTAACAGTGCCTCACATGCATCTTTCTAGGAACCGATTGAACATTATTTTGATCTTGCACCTCCCCCGCAAAACCCCAATTAAACAGTTGAAGCATGAAGAGTCACTTGTATAAATAAGCGTATATGTATATAATGTAAATGTATAAAAGAAATTGTTAGTCTAATGTTTTAACACCAGGAAAAACCTTTTCCCAACAAAACTAAGCATGATAGAAAGAAAAGTTAAATACTGTACAAACATTAAAGTATATTTAATTATCAACAACTTTCTCACAGACGAAACTTCTCTGACCAACAAAAAAAAATTTTAGTAGACAACTAACTTTTTCACTTCACTTTTCCAACATTTTTCTAATGTGTTAATTAAAAAATATATATATACTACCAAATGAAATTTTAATTTCCAAAACCATACCATTGGCATGAAGGGTTTATTCCCTAGCTCTGTACCAAATTTCAAAATTGTATCTCAATTGTAAGGGTGTAAAAATGCAGTATATTTAAACCGCGACCACTAGTTCCGTACTACCGTAATGGTGAAATGGCCGGGAGTTAATGCTCAGTGCGACGTTGCCAATTCTCGCTGGCCGCGGCCTGTAGTTAAAGGGGGCCGTGGTGTAACTAAATGTAGCATATCTGGTGTTTTCTACTTTTATTTCTAGAAGTCAAACATAAGTACTGCACATAAACCTAGACTGTCTCCTGTTATACCCTACTGTTAATTTCTTGCAGGATGTTGCTTGGGTACGGATCAGCTGAGAGTTGCATGTCAGTTCGTTGGGACAGTCAAGGACTGCGCTTGCTAGCTCTACGACGTCGCCTCCCTCCAGTGCTCTATCCTCTACATTCCTCATGCTATCTGGCACAGGTAACGCCAACATAGCCAGGCGTCTTACAACGTTTTTAGAACACATCGCTGTCGTAGCTCTTGATGTTATTTAAACTAGGTTGTTCACACCGGCGTATTAATACGCAAGCGACATGGGCGCTGTAGCTGCCGCTACGCCGGCTAGCTACGCGTAGCTCGCATCCCCGAATAAGCGCATCCACACTAGCTTCCTGGGAAATATGTCTTGACAAACTGCAAACTAATAACACCCCCACTGTAGACTAAGCGAATTTCCATTTGCCATTTTATTAACATTATGTTTAACGAGTGCCTAGGTTTGCTGCTACAGGTAACAACTTAGGCTTCATTTAAAAAATAGTTGTTTAGCCTCTGGATTACTGTATTATACTTAAAATGGTTTACAATACCTGCATATAGTAATCCTTTGTTGCTGATTTTGGCAACTAGTTTCGGTTCATTAATGAATCATCTTCAGACCTCAAGGTGTCAAGTAATCACTTCATTTGAAGATCTTTAACAAACAGAGTTCAATAAATAAGACATATACAAAACATGATACACGGAACGGACACACATTACAAAAAAACACGAAAAACACGAAGGGACATTGACAATCGCTTGTGACCGGGTGAGGTAAAGTCTAGACTAGAGGCCTGAAGATGGTTCATTAATGAACCGAAACTAGTTGCCAAAATCGGCAACAAAGGATTACTATATGCAGGTATTGTAAACCATTTTAAGTTACTTAAACTTTTACAGTTACAGAAGCTAGTTATGAAATTTAATTTTAGACTACAGCACACTATTTTCTTTGTTAGTCTTGTATTCTGTTCCAAAATACAGTTTGACCATCCGTCCTACTACAACTCATGCACCATGAAGAGCTGTTGCTTCGCTGGGGAGAATGATCAGTTTGTGCTTTCTGGGTCAGACGACTTCAATCTCTACATGTGGAAGATTCCTGAAGGAGACTCAGGTATGTTATTGGTTCTTATTTTTTGGTATGGGTTTATGCATTGTTATTATGTAATCTATATGCCATGAGTGAAATCAAGACAGCTGCAAGGAGTGGGGTGATGAGTTAAAGATTCTCTGTGTGTACTCAAGTAGCCTACTTCCAAGAACTCTCGAGTTTTATCACTTTTATTCCTTTGTAATAGTTATTATGATATCCCAATTATATTGTTTTATATTGTTGGATGTAGCTGTTCAGATTCAAATGTTTTTGTTTCCTTTTTTTATTGTGAATTAACTACTTTATATAATCTAAATCTTATGAACTAGAATGAAGATAGTGACTTAGCTACCCCCATTGTTTATTACTCAATTTATAAAGGCCCTCCTAAATAATTAGGTATAGGCCTGGGTCTTTTGATTTATTGGAAGAGCTTTAATACACTCACCTTTACCACTTAACCTAAACAATAAAGAAAAATATTTATTACGAATTCACAAAAAATCACAAATTATTCATGACATTAAAAAGATAAACATAACTGTAAACAATCCTACTTTGACAGGTCTCATTGCGTATTACAGTTTTTTGTTGCTGTTTAGTTCGAATTAGCTGTTTACATAATGCAAAAAAATTATAGTGCTGCAGGGTAAATCTTATAACTTTTTAATGATTTTGTATATCATAGAACCAACTTTTTTAGTTGAAACAGCTGACTAAATTTTTTAATTCCCTTTCAATATGAATACTCATAAGGTTAACATGGGGAAACTTTTTATTAAAAGTTATTAAAAAAGCCACTGGGGCAGAGCCCGAAAGGATTTTTGAGATAATAATATGCCTATATGTTAATCGGGAAAATGAGCTATCATCATGCCAAATTTCAGCCCAATCCGTCCAGTGGTTTATGCGTGATTGAACTTCAAACAAACAAACAAACAAACACACAAACTTTTACATTTATAATATTAGTAAGATATATATATAAATACATACATACATACAAATTTGAACGAATGGTGATTTTGGCCTCTGGGGACATCAAAATGAAAAAGTTAATCGGTTCCAGGACTCGTCCTTACCATGAGACCTACGGTAATAGCTACTTCCCCATAGGGAAATTTGCTAAAAAAGAAGAAGAATATATCATTATAAACACGATTGAAGTGTATTACAAAGTAAATTATCACTGTTTAACAGGTTTTCGCATGTGGTCTGTGTGTACTGATAGCCAAGTGACTTTTAAGCTTACTTGTAATTATTTTAAGCACACTAAAAAAGTATCCCTACACACATTTTTCTCTTCTTAAATGTTACTTTAAAATACTGTAATATAAAAGCTGATGGTGAAGATCAATTTTCAATTGTATGCTCTGATGACTCCGCTCAATTTTGTGGACGCGCATTTCTTGAGTGCTTTTATTTTGACAATTTGATACAACTGATTCAAAACAGTAAAACTACAGATCTTCTGTGATCCTAAGTACTACATTTACTCCACCATGGTGATTGTGGAAACCAAGTCTGACCTGTTAATGCGTGAAGCTCTAGCACTAATATAAACATTTTGATAGGTTCATGGGTGTCATCAGCTCATCTTATACTCACGGGTCATCGCTCCATTGTGAACCAAGTGCGCTTTAACTCAACCAACCATCTCATAGCTTCATCTGGAGTGGAAAAACTCATCAGGGTAAGTTACATCTCTGTCATCATTCCAAAATTGTAGATATCAAATAGACTAAGATAAAGATTATTCAAGGTTCTTTAAAAAGGTTAGTTTTGTTCAAGAAAGGCTCTAGGCCAGGATTTTGAATTGTGGAGTAAAGAGGATGGCAGCTAGCTTACAAGAAATAAGAAAAGAAGAAAGAAAGGAGTAAAGAAGAAGGGAGAAGGACAGGTAAGCCATAAAATCACAATGAATGCATTCTATGGCCTACCTTTCGGCTTACTTCTTCTAAGATAAGCTAGCTGCTATCCTCTTTATTCCTAGGTTCAGATAGTTACACTTTTTTGACTTTAGTTCTTTAGATTTTTTTTAAGATTGGCATAATAGACAGTATCTTGCAAATTTCAAAGTAAAACAGTGATTAGTCTAGAGTTACTTCATGCTAATCAAGGTTTCCATTTATTTATCATGACTAACAAGCTATAATTGGTTTAATTTACCCGGGCTGTGCAGGTTTGGAGCCCGTTTCCTTTGCCGACTGCAAATGAGGAGGAGCAGCAGACTGACAAAGAAAACCAGCGAAGAGTGTTTTCACATGAAGAATACATAAGTTTAGTGCTAACCACTGGTCAAGTAAGTAACACAAAATAACTTTTGATATTGTTCATTATGATGCCAAAGTTTAGAAATACATAAAATGATGGAAACAGTGTTGTCTTCTAACATGACCAAATTGATACAATAAGCAACAGAAATTGTCTGCAAAGGGAAAAGAAACACAGGTAATGTATTGAAATATTATGTATATTTGTGGATGCAATTTCTTAACAAATTGCATTTGAAAATTGTAGTTTCTACGGCACAATACCACCCATCCACGTACTTGGGGAGCGGGCTGGTCTAGTGGTTAGAGCGCGGGATTCCGGTTCCTGGGGTCCCGGGTACAAATCCCGCTAAATCACCGATGGATTTGATCTAAGTGATAATGCCGTAACCCCTTGGTCTAGCCCGAAGTAATGTGAAAAACTATTCCGGGCTTGTGCCTAGCGTCCTAGGACAAAAAAAAAATCTAGACATAATACCAGGTGTTTCAAAATGAATATCGGGATTTTAACGTTTTACTACTTTTATTACATTTAACTTACACCACACACATGTTAGTTTACATTTTTACTTTATAAATGACACATCAGATGAAAAAGTAACTAAAGAGTTTTACATAAAAGCCTACAAGTGCTCAATATGAGCACCATTCGTCACCGGGCACACGTCAAGATGATAGTTTGCTGTAGTGATGTGTCAATACCCAAAATTCATCGATTCTCGATACCGATGCCCGAAAAATCAATTCTCGACTCCTATATCATTTTTATTGTTTTATTAAATTTTCTCAATGGATTGGCTACTACACTAACCCCTGTCTTTATGTTCTTCGATTAAGTTTTTTTGAGGTAATGAAGTGTTTTTCAAGTAAAGACACTTTGGTCAATTTCCTCTCCATTTAAAAGTTATTTGCAAAAAAACTAAAAAGTTAAGCAACCTCCAACATTTTTACAGTGGTAAAAAATACAGAGTTAAAGATTATTTTTAAACTTTGTACAACTAAATCTACAGTTCTACTAGATCGAATGTGTTGTTGGAAATGATAAACTCTTTGAGTTGCTTTTTCTTTAGATGACTCATTCATAGCGGTAAGTTTAATGTAATAAAAGTTACAAAATGTTAAAATCCCAAAATAATATTAAAACACTAGTAGGTACTTTAAGGCCAAATTAAAATGTTTAAAAAAAGAAGAAGAACCTAGAATTTTAAATTTGTTATGTAATTATTACATTACTTTACATTGATTATTAAATATTTTATTTCAGACCATATCAATGCATTGAATTGTTGAAAAAAGAGTCTTAAATAATTAAAGATGTATAGTTTAAAAGTTTTGCCTACTATCTGTCTTTTTTTGTCTGTTGTAGTTTATATCACATGACTACAGTCATGAGTCCACTACGGAGGATCCCCGAATGATGGCATTTTTTGACTCTTTGGTACAACGAGAGATTGAAGGTTGGACGTCAGGAGAGAGTCACAGTGAGGCCCCTTCCCCTCTGGCCTCTGATCACATTATATCAGATGGTCAGTGTGCTCGCCACTTTACAAATTTAAAAAATTCTATTTTAACATTTTCTCATGTTATATTTATAGTTTGTCATTTGTATCTTCCTGTGACAAAAAAATATACCACAGAAAAATCAGACTAAATAATGTGCACAATTAAATCGGTTCCTAAAGTGATGTATACTCTTTTCACAAAATTAAAAAGCGGTTTGGCGGTTTTAGGGCAAGAAATCTATCCCCTCCACTTGATCCCACCTTAAGGCCATGTACACATGAGGGTGGCCGCCACCGCGGTGCTGCGGCCGCCTAGGACCGTACAGACTTACATGAACACAATACCAGAAACCAATCCTTACTTGAGTTACCATACACTAGGTTAAGTAAATATCAAAGTAGCTTTAATATTGTTAGTCTTAAGTTGTTTAATAAGCTAGCTGAAAGCATTAAATCCCTGGACCAAAAAGTATTTAGAGTAAGGTTATATGACTGGCTGTGTAAAAAATCCCTTTTATAGCCTTAGTGAATTTTACGATTTTAAAACTGTTAGCATTTAAACGTTGACTCTGATACTGTATAGCATAATTTTTGTAATGTATCAAACCTTGACTTTGTCTATTGCATGATTGTAATGCTGAAGGACAATAAAAACATTCTGATTCTGCGGTGTGAATTGACCTAAGTTTTTCCTTTGTTCCGCTTGACAATTCTTTTCAGCAAAAAACTCAACTAACTCTTGCCTCGCAAACCTTTTTCAAACCTGGTCTTTATTATACAGTAGTCGTTGAATTGCATGTCCCAAATGCATCTTATTTTTTTACTTCTTCAATGAACAGTTCAATATCAAAGTTTTCTGGTTTCACAGCAGCATGCGTGGCCATTGTAAACTTACACTAGAAACACTACATCAACTCCAGCTACAGCTACACACTACACCAACTCTCAGAGAGCGATGTCCACAGGGCGAGCGTGTAGATGTCTGTGGATGTGATCCTAGTAGCAACTGTAGTCAACCGCGGCGGCTTCCGCCCTCATGTGTATGCTCTCATGCCAACTCTAGTAACTCCAACCACGCAGGAGCCGTGGTGGTCAAAGGGAAATCTACGACCGCCGCGGTTTGTTGCGGTTGATTGGAATTGGGCAGTTGCATGTGAACGGTCCCATTTGCTCTTTTGCACTTTCAACCACCGCGGTTCCAGCGCAATATCAAAGTTTTCTTGTTCCACAGCAGCATGTGTGGCCATTGTAAACTTACACTATAAACACTACATCAACTCCAGCTACAGCTACACACTACACCAACTCACAGAGAGCCATGTCTACAGGGCGAGCGTGCAGATGTCTGTGAATGTGATCCTAGTAGCAACTGCAGTCAACCGCGGTGGCTGCCGCCCTCATGTGTACAAGGCCTTAAACAATATTGTAACACCTGAGGTTTGCCAAAACGCCAATCAGCTCCAGCTGCAACATATATAATATGCAAAACTAGGTACTGGGGAAACTTCCCCTCAAACCGCCTAAATTTTGTGAACGGACTATAATATAAAGATAATTTCCGCTTTCTTAGGCCATAAAACCTAAAAATAACCAAAAACCTGATGATTCTATGCAGTGTACTGAAAAACTGTAATTTTATTTAAATAAATTATAACCTCCAAAAATCACTGTGAGATTTAGTGTCTATATGAATTTGATTAAATTTTTGTTAAATATATTTCTTTAACTTACACAACACTCAGTGGTATGAGCATTCAGACAATATATTAAACTAAAAACTCATTTTGCATTCCTTTGGCCACCAATATGCATATCAATTGACTGTCAAATCTGCAATTTTACTACTTAGACTGTCAGTTAACGTTAATTTTATAATTTTATGCTTGAACAGTATCAAAAATTGTTTTAATATTTCAGATTCATCAAGTAGTAACAACGAATCTAATAATGCCGAAGAAAACCAATCAGGTAAACAATATTTATTTTCACTTTAATTCACCAAATCATGCTTTTTAACTTGATTGGGTTGTATTATATCGGTATCAGTATGTACGTTATAATTGTAATTGTAAAATTGATGAATAATTAATTTTCTTGCTAATAGGAACACACTTTACCATGAACAAACCACCATGGCTGGGTTAGGTAGTCAAGAAATTTGATTTATTTATCTGTTTTATTTGTTACATTTACTTGTCTTCTAAAACACAAAGTAATAGTTGGTGTAATAAAAGAAAAAAACATGATTTTTTTAATATTGTTGAAAAAATTGCACTTTGTGAAATTCACTAGAATAGTGGCAGCAACATTCCTCTTGTAAATTCCCTTATTGTGTTTATAAGGGGTTGAATTTAAGTTTTTCCAACTCACCCCATAATTACTTCATGTAGGCCTAAGTGTAACGGTAGGTTCCTCTGCTACTGGAGGTCTACTCACTATTATTTTGGGTGGTGTAGCACAGGAATAAAGCTCAGCACTCGCTTACAAAACTTAACTTTAATATTACTCAAAGCAATATGAAGAACACAAAGATAAGAAACAAACGAAAAGGTGGAGTGGACTGGAAGTGTAAAAATCATTTAGTTAGAAAAACTGAAACCCAAATTTGGAAAAAGACTCTAAACCCCAATTTTGAAAAAAAAAAAAACCCTAACAGTGTCTTTCCTGGACCCAAGGCCAAAGGCTTTGGGCTCCAGCTCCCCCAGCAGGACCCTATCCAGTACACCACACTCACCACTACACACAAAAATGACCCCAGATCAAGTGCACTGGCCTACTTAAAGCAACAGCCTTTGGTAGGTCAGCACAAAAAGTTATTGTTTAACCACAGCCTACTCGCATAATATTGCCAAACACTTCCTCTTCAAAATATTTTACCCCTCATATTAGGCCTACATAAGGACATAAGACTGGGGTTGGTGGTGTTGTATAACCAATCCACATAGAAAATTTTGTAGAGTTAAAACAATTGGTGTCCATATCAAAAATTGATTTTTCAGGCACCAGGATCAATAACAAGAAACAAAAAAAATGTTGTCACAAATATATAATACACATCTACAGACAATTCAACCAGACTAAATACAAGGCGGTTGAAGTTATGGAGTTCATCAATTCCTGGTTATCAACATAGGAGATCAACTGGTTATCCCTATTATTTATTTAATGTATTAAGTATTTTCTGCTCAAGGTGCTACGAATGTCTTATTTTGATTTTACTTTCTCCCCCTATACCATAGTATATGAAGAAAGTATGTGTCAGATTGCTGATACCGTTTATATTGTAATGCATAGTTTCAACAGCTTACTAATTAATTAAATGAACAAGCTATGGTTGTTTTGTAAGATTATAAAGTTGTGATATGTATTTTTTTCCTAAAATTAACTTTTACAATTTTTTAGGTCAAAGAAGAAGTTTAAGTAAAAATCCCATTGTTGAACTGATTGCTCGAAAACGAGCACAGCTGGTACGGCTAGCAGAGAAGTCTCGTGCGAAAGACTCTCGTGACCAAAGCTCAGATTCCAGTGACAGTGGGACGACTGTTAGCAAACACAGAAAACACATCTGCAAGCGGAAACGAAGACAAGCAGTATCATCAAGCTCTGACTCGGATAATAAGTTGGGTGAGAGTGAAAAGAGGAAAAAACTGCAGCGTGTGAGTTGTGATGAAGAAAATAGTTTTGAAGATATTTCTTCTGATGATTCGTCATCAGTAACAATAGGGAAGAATCCTTCAACGAGTTCCGAAACACCTGATAGTGGTATAGTTTTACCTGACAGACCTTCTTCAAGTAAATTTAAATCCAAGCCACATAGAAATTACAGACGTCACCTACCAGACTCAGACTCTGACTAAATTTCAAATCCTAGATTTGTATTAAGCAGTTAATAATTTCCTGCAAGGTACATAAAAGTTGTGTTTAGGTTTAAGTCCAACTTACTAGCAGTGTGGGTTTTATCAAAGCTTATTTACATTATATATTTAAAAAAAAACACACTTATCATCAAGATTAAGTTGAGTTTTTAAAATTAAAAAGAATTACTTTAATGTTGGTTTTATTGTATATAAACATTCTAAACAGTATTATTGAATAATACAGATTTGCCATTGTTATCATAGTTGAGCAGTATACTTCTGGACAGTGGACATTCAACTCAGCCTATAATGCATTTCCTTAGACATGATAGAACAACTGGAATCTTGCATGTTACCTTACCACTATAGTTCGGCCGCTTAGAAAACGACCTGCTCGCTAATGCTAAACCAATGCTGGAAACATTGGTTAGGTTTGAAAGAGACCGAACTATAATAAGCTAACTGTAACTGCAATTTGTAAATGACCATTTTTAATGAACTTAAAAATATTATGTTTTTCTGCGTAGAAAGTAAATGAAAAATTAATAAATTATTGTTAAAGAGTGATGGATTAAGGCAAAAAAATTAGAATCATCCTTTGAACAAAAGCTGAACGCCATTAAAATGTACTACTTTCACTTGGGTCCCCTTATTTTTACCTTAACAAATTGCTATGATTTTATAGAAAAAAATATAAAAAATGGAACTAGATAGTTGTGTCAACAAATGTTATTCCCATATTACGGACGTCTTTCAAATAATTTTCATCACACAGAATTTTGATATTTGCCTTGTGTTATTATTATGTGCAAACTTATAATTTTGTAAAAAGTCAGTGGCGTAGCCAAGGGGGTTTATGACAAAAGAATTTTGCCGTGATTGCAAAAGATAATTAAGATTTTGCCGCCATCACGGGAGACTATCATTATGTCCATAATTGTGGAAGATGTTCATGTTGATAATGCCTCGTTGATATCAGAAGATGTTTATTATGTTTCCATAAACGTGGAAGGTATCCATAATGGCCCCGTCATCTTAATAGATGTTCATGATGTATCCGTAGTCGCGAAAGAATTCTGTAAATTCGCCGCATTTTCGGGATACAATTGTTATGTCTTTGTGATCACTGATGATGTTCACAATGCATTCATGATCACAGAAGGTGTCCATAATGCCCTAATAGAAGATGTTCATTATGTCCTCCGATTACAGGAGATGTTTATGATGTCTCCCTGATAGCAGAAGATCTCACGATTTTACCCCATCGCGGGAGTTAATCTCAACTAGATAACCCGTTGCTCAAAATCGTGCAAAACTGCAAATTTTAATAAAAGAATAAAGAACAAAAATATAAACAGCTAGACCTTAATCAAAGAGTGACATAAAAAACTCATTTGACTCCTCCAAGCTCTCGTCCCCACAAATTTTTGCCATAGTCTTAAAAGATTGGTTGTGGTTTTCAATGTGTGACCATATTTCCCACATAAGATTTGCATTACATTTTTTGTCTGATTTTCTTTCATACGCTGTTGGGTTCCAGTGTCATCGTTGTATATATACATCTGTGTGTATTAAGGATCTTGCACATCTACGTGAAAATACCTTTAATATGACACCTCAAACCTTAAAATCCGTCCAGTAGTGATCAAGTTATGACTGTGAAAAGAAAACTGCTTGCGTATAAATATATAGATTACTGAACAAGTTGATGACTTTGATAGAAGGAACTAATATTATAAATATGAATGTTTGGAGTATGTCAATAACGTGAATACTACTTGACCAATTGAGCTGTTTTTTTTTCATGAGTAGAGGCAATATAACCACAGGCCTAAAGGACATAGTCATCTTTTATTTTATTATAATAGGTACTCTACTAGGACTCTGCCCTGACAGCTTAGTAAGTCCAAAGTTGTTCTTCGAAGTAACCATGAAAAGCCTTTTGAAATGCTACCCGAACCGGTACGGCTTACAAAAGTTTTATTAATACTTATAAACTATAAAGTCAAACGGGGCGAAGCCCACGGACAACAGCTAGTAGATAATATTCTTAAAAATTTAGTTAGGAGTGTTATAATAATTTACTTTAGGAATACTACTTTAAAACATTAACTTTGAAATGGCCCATAAATAGACCTCATTACTGTATTTTATGTCCCAAAGATTACCCTCAGACCCCTCCCTCATCGGTCTGCTATGTGGAACACCCCCTTTACATATTCCTGGCTACGCTACTGTAATCCGGAATATGGGTTAAACCGGCCCTGAACATGTCTGACCTCTTGGTTACACGAATTTTGAGGTTCAATCTTAATTTTCATACCAACAGATAAGTGGATTAATCTGTTTAGTTTTGTTTGTTATCCATACAGATAATTGCGATGGAAACTTTCCATGTTACCCTAATTAAAAGAATGGACTTAACTGCCGCTGAGTTGCAATGACTGAATCACTACTTTTTTCAAGCGACTCGATAACAAACGCACGTAGCTCAGGTGACCACTGTTCTATGACAGATAATGGCAGTGTGTAGGCCTTCCAACGAACCTACCCCCACCCCCCTCAGATGACCTGTCACTGAACAGTGCAAGGCAGAAAATAGATCGTTTTTTGCCGCACCCTAAGTTGAGAAAAAAGGCATTGTTAAGTCTTCAATAGATGTCCAATAGAGAAGGGAACAATTAATACCCCCGCCGCAGCAAACCTGCCGACTAAGCGAATTTCCATTTGTCTGAATTGATTTTCAGTTAAATATATTTTAATAACATTAGGTTTAACGAGTACCTAGGTTTGCTGATACAAGGAAACTAATAAAGTGTGTTTTTGAGTAAAATATTGATAGCTTAGTACAAAATAAATAAATTTGCCAAGTTTGATCAAAATATATTCATAAACAAGCAAACTACAACATTTGACAATATTCTCCATAAGAATAACATGGGAATTTTAAATTTACAATTTTTTTAATTTTCTCCGTTACTAATAATCGGACAAAAATACTTTTATATACTAGATTATTTGTTTTTTTAAGCTCTTTAAAAAGGTCTAAAGAGAAATCGGGAAATTTTGTGTTTTGAGGGTCAAAAGTGAGAAAAACCAATTTTTACCCCATAAAACCCCCCGTAAAGCCCAGTTCCCATGGTCCGATCGTGCTGATTTGCGAACTCATTCAAGTTTATCCCGCTTTACACCTTTAAACCAAATTTCATCAAAATCGGACAAAAATTACTCAAGTTATCGCGTTCACGGACGTGTATATATCTATATAAATAAAATTAGAGTTTTGTCTGTACATTGCTTAGAATAATGAACTTTTTGGTTATTTTTACATTTCATAGGTCAGAGAAACCGAATCAAACCTTATCTCAATTTCTGTCTGTCTGTCTGTCTGTCTGTCTGTCTGTCTATCTGTCATTCTCTTGGTAACGCTAAAATACGCACTTTATTACAACTACTCCTCAATAACTATAGCACTGTCCCGCCTGAAACTTATTTTCCAAATACTATACATATATGAGATGGTTTTAGACGTATTTCATCGAATATGAGACAGTTAGATATTTAACAGTAAACCCTTGAAAATCAAGTTTTTGTCGATTTTTGACGTGGAATTTCTGGAAGCCCATGTTAACCTTATGAGAAATGAAATTATTGAATCTTAACAGCTGTTTCAATTAAACAAGTTGGTTCTGTTCTGTGATGTTCAATAGCATTAAAGTTACAAGGATTACCAACAGGGTGCAGCACTAGCACTATTATTTCTTTTACATTTATGACAACAGCTAATTTGCAACCTGGAGGCGAGTGAGCGTAGCGAACGAGCTAACCTGAAGGCAAGTGAGCGTAGCGAACGAGCTAACCTGAAGGAAAGTGAGCGCAGCGAACGAGCTCCAACATACAGGTGAGTGAGCGTAGCGAACGAACTTCAACCAGGACGTGATTGAGCCATGCAAACGAGATCAGATAGTAAAAATAAAAGTAAGCCTACCGTTATAGGATCGACCGGCAGACACAGAGGTAATTTAACCTTTTATTGATTGTCATACCGATCCGGAACAACAAAAAACAACATAAAATGAAGCTATGTATAATAGTTTGGCCAGCATATCTTAAAATATGCAAACCAACTGCTGTTCTTTATATAAGAAGGTTTCAACTGAATATTATAAGATCCCCGTGCGTAGAACGGGTACACAGCTAGTATATATATATGTCTATATATATATATATATACATATATAAAAATTTGAACGAATGGTGTTTTTGGCCTCTGGGAACGTCAAAATGAAAAAGTAAATCGGTCCCGGGTCTAGGTCTTACCGTGCCACCTACGGTAATAGCTACTTCCCTATAGGGAAATTTGCTAAAAATCATTCTATAAATGTTTATTATTTTTTATTAGATTGAATTTAATGTTTTCCTAGCATGATCATAAAAGAACTTGATCAAATGTATGCATTAGAAACCCTCTTTTTTTAATTGAGATTGTATTCCTTTATTGTGTCCCTCACTAAAACCCTAGCAAGTACAATAAGTTACCGTTAAACAAAAATAAAAGGTCAGAGTTGAGACTGGTCCCTGTAAAAAATTGAGCTTGGCTTTTTTGGAACACGAAAGTAAATTAAATACCCCGCTGCAGCAAACCTGCAGACTAAGCGAATTTCCATTTACCTGGCGGGATTTGTACTAAAATATTCCCTAAAAATTGGCAGATTTATTTCCTATTGAAATAACATTAAATTTAGTGAGTACTTAGGTTTGCTGCTATGGTGAAGATATTGAGGTGTGTTTTTTTTTATTGAAATGTTGATAGGTTAGTAGGAAATAAACAAAATTTCCAAATTTGATTCAAATATATCCATAACCAAGCAAACTACAACAGTTTATTTATTCTCCATAAGAATAACATGGGAATTTTAAATTTACAATTTTGTTTAAATTATCTCCGTAACCGTTGGGCATACAACAACGCTTCAATATACAAAATTATTTCTTTTTTTGAGCTCCACAAAATGGTTTAGAGAGAAATTATGAAATGTTGTGTTTTTAGGGTCAAAAATGGGGAAATCAATTTTTACCCCATAAAACCCCGTTCCCATAGTCCGATTATGCTGGTTCGCGAACTCGATCTTAATAAACATAGTTTTACACGTTTGTACCAAATTTAATCAAGATGGGATCATTGTTGCTCGAGTTATTGCGTATATATATATGAATTTGAACGAATTGTGTTTTTGGCCTCTGGAAACCTCAAAACTAAAAAGGAAAATGGTCCCAGGTCAAGGTCTTACCATGAGAAATATATGGGAAATTTGCTAATTAGTAAGTGTAAAACAGAAGGCTGAGAAATTGAATTTACTGCATTTAAATAAAAACATGGTGTAAGTTGTACTCTTCTTTCGATTATTAACCTTATTTTTTTATTCAAATCGCACTTTATATATTATGTTATTTGAGTTGTATAAATTAGTGACATATATCTTTAAATATTTTAAATTTGATAAGTTATACTTATTTTATTTAGTTATTAGCTATGATACTATAAATTTATAGAGACAATTTTATTGTAAATGGTTCAAGGATGAAATTAAAAATTTCTGTGATTCTTTGATTGGATATGTTATTGAAGGTTTCTCCCTTTGCACCCTCCTAGGCTCTCTTTTCGTTAGATTAATATACCAAATTCTAATTGTTTTCAGTTTTTTAATCATAATTAATTATAGATCAGATAGGATTAAAAAATTCTTTTACACAGTTTTGCCTGTTAACACTGTTCATGTTTTTTATTATCAATAAAAAATGAACAAAGTGAATTCTCCTACTGGTAAGTGATGCATCTTTTGTAATGTGATGGCTGGAAGAAAACTTTATTTAAAAATTAAAGTGTTCCTCAAAGATTCAATAGTATAATATCTCGGCTAAGTTTGTTGGTCAAAGACTTTTTGTTCAGAAATAATGATTATACAATAGATCAAACATTTTTCTTCTTTTTATTTATTTACGTATTACTACCTACAATTTTGTCGTCTTAAGGTTGAGACCAAGAGACCGACTTTATCTATGAACTCAATCAACTCATAGAAAAGTCTATGACCTATGTCCTATGTTTCATTTATAAAATAAACAGTTTTACTCATAAGACATCTTTACGTTAAGATTGCCAGAGAAAAACAATCCATCCATATTGAATCCAATAGATAACAACAAATATACTAGTTGTTTTGCCCGTGCTTTGAAAACGGAGCGTGAATACTTAAAAAAATATAGTGTGGGCCAAATCTACTGTAAAGAAACACACTTACGATCTTTGAGAGCGTCTCGTGCCCTTAAGGGTAATAGTTTTTAAATTCTAAAACCTTTATGCAAAACTACGAATTGAGACGAATTATTTGACACCTCAAACGTTAAAATCGGTCCAGAAATAACGGAGGAGTTTTGTTCACAAAAAACAGCCCTCACGTATTAATTTAAGAGATCTGTTCACTACAACTAGGCCTACTCTACTGGCTGCAAGAATTTGCAATACTCCTGCAACAAAGTATGGGTTACCTTGTACTACAGCTTGTGGACTTTACCAGCTTGGGGAACAATGTGACAATTCGTAAAGTGATCATAACAGTGTAGAACTTGATGTGAATGATGAATTATTATTTTTATAATGCTCTACTACTAACCACAAGAAAGTGTGACTATCATACCAATATTATAAATGTGAAAGTTTGTTTGAAGTTCAATCACGCATTAACTACTGGTCAAATTGGGCTGAAATGTGGCTTTATGATAGTTCAGATTCCCGATTAATATACAAGCCTATTCTTATTTTTAAAATCCTTTCGGGCTAAGAATTTATAGACATTTATTTAAGTAAATAAAATATGTATGTTGAATTTTAGCTTGTGATCTTTATTTTAAGACCTATTAATGGATTGTTCAAGCTAAAAATAGTCATAAATTAAAATACCCCCGCCGCAGCAAACCTACACACTAAGCGAAATTTCCATTTGCCTGATTGAATTTACACTGAAATATCACATTAAAAATATCACATTTATTCCCTACTAGCTGTAACCCACGGGCTTTGCCCCGTTTAACTTCTTAATTTTCAAGATTATCTCGTTCGCATGGCTCAATCACGTCCTTGTTGAAGTTTGTTCGCTACGCTCACTCACCTTAAGGTTGGAGCTCGTTCGCTACGCTTACTCACCTTTAGGTTGGAGCTCGTTCGCTGCGCTCACTTGCCTTCAGTTTAGCTCGTTCGCTGCGCTCACTTGCCTTCAGTTTAGCTCGTTCGCTTCGCTAACTCGCCTCCAGGTTGAAATGTTAAATAGTTTATTATGAAACAAATGCATTTTCCAAATTTTATAAAAATATATTCATTGACAAGCTAACTACAACAAGTTTTCTTATTCCCCGTAAGAATAACATGGGAATTTTTAATTTACAATTTTTTGAAATTTTCTCCATACCTATTAGGTGCATGACAACGCTTCAATGTACTAAATATTGTTTGTTTTTCTGAGCCCTAAAATGGTTTTGAAATAAATTGCAAAATTTTACGTTTTTAGGACAAAAATGAGAAAACCCAATTTTTACCCCATAAAACTCCCCATAAACCCCTGTTCCCATGGTCCGATCATGCTGGTTCGCAAACTCGTTCAAATAAATGTAGGTTTACATGTTTGTACCAAATTTCATACATATCGGATCATTTTTGCCTGAGTTATTGTGCTAACGGACACATTTGACCAAAATCTTGGATACCATCTTGAATTTTGGACTTGAGACTCCGATTTCATTAGACTTTTTTCCTGGTAAATACACATAATTCTAAGTCAAAATAACCAATAAAACAATTTAAAGCAATTTTTTTAGGGTTCTCGTACGGATTTACTCGACTATAATAAAAACCCAGCAAAACAAACTAATGCCTGTTTTTGTGTACATTTAGATTGTGCAACAAGAAAAATCAGCTGATTTAAATCATTAAAACAAACCTTACTAAACACTAGTGGATATAGTGGATAAATGGAGAACTAATTGAGAGCGATGGAAAATCATCTGATCGTTTTTCCCTCGCCCTAAATTAGAGCTTGGGAAACAACTACTTTCTTTCATATTAGCTGTTATCGAAAATAGTTACTTTCGGTAAGGAGTGATGAAAAATATAATTATTACCATCTGGAAATCAAGTTCAAAATTCATTTTTAAACACACTTATGTAATAAACTACTGACATAACTTTATGTCCATAAGAATAATAAAAACTTCAAATGACAGAGAGGAAGGGCCCTTAAAGAGTCCTTGGAGGCTTGTGGCCATCTTGGATTAACTTACAGCTGCTGAAGAGTTATTTAACATCCCAAAATATTTTGTTTGAATACCAAAGTGATTGTAGGCTAATTTAAATATCTAGGGTGATATTGGATCAGAAATTTTCTCTGTGGTTTTGTAATATTTTCCAAGGGGTTCCTTTCAGGCTATGAACGCCATCTTGGATTTGCCCGTCATAAGAGCAATATTTGTTTCAAATCAGTTATTTACGATCTCAAAATATTTTTTTTAAATGCCAAAGTGATTGTAATTTAAAAGTCCAGGGCACTATGAAATATCATCTTTGTAGTTTTGTAACTGTTTTATATGAGTTAGCACAGCTAAGCTCCAAGGACTCATCAGAATTTATAAGAATAGTTACCGAGCATCTATCTTTGTTCATGTCTGTATTGTGTTGTGTTTATTCAAAAATAACCAACTAAAATTTAGGTTTATTGAAAGCATTTAAATGGAATTAATAAGAAAAACAGTTTGGTAAAACAAAACGTTTTTTGTATAGTCTTTAATAAAACACAGTATAAAAATAAAGCCTTAATCAGTAGGAATCACATTTTGATAACAATTTGAAATATTATTAGATATACATCCCAAACCATAAATTTAATATTGCGAGATAAAAAACTGTGTGAAAGCTAATAGCAGTGCACAACAATTTATGTAACAAAATCTGGTTTCTGATCAACATTTTCTTTATGGAACTGCGACAGAGCTTCCCATTGCTTAGAGCGGAGTAGAAGATGGGGCCTCTTGTTTTGAATAAATTTCACTGCTTCCTCTGGAGACCATCCATGCTTCTGAAATAAATTAAATGTCTTTCATTAGGCATTACTATGGAAAGAATACAGTGTAGCCATGTCTACAGAATACATGCGCTATGTTGTATGCTAGCTCTTACCATAAGATAAATAAACAGTATCAACAATCTGACAATGTTACACCTAAAAGAGATGAATCAGTTAAACCTCACTTCAAAAATCTAAATATTTTAACAGTTTTTGCAGCTTATACTTTTGAAATAGCATGTATAGCTAAAAGAGACAGCACAAAATATTAGCCAGTTGTGCCACATAGCTACAATACAAGACATAAAAAGGATATTGTAACTTCAACCTATAAGCTGGAATTCTCAAAAAAAAAAACCGACTATTGCTGGATCACTAATTCTAAGGAAATTGCATGCCTCTATAAAGGAGGAATCAAATTATAAATTATTTAAAGATAAATTTAAAAAATATTTAATAGGAAAGGCGCCTTATACAATGGAGGAAGTCATTGAATAAATATTCATACTTAAAATGTATTTATATCTTGTCTAGTTTAGTACGTTATACTTGACACTATTTTTGTACCCATGTACATGTAAGGAAAATAAAGATATTTTGATTTGATTTAATTTGACATGCAAGGGTCATACACAAAGTAACCGCCGTTTGGGCGTAGCGCGATAAGTATAGTGGGGGTAGTGGGGGGGGGGGTGCTCACAGACAATAACAAAATGAAAAGAATGAGTTCTGCCTTAGACTTTCTCACTCGGTATAATGTTGAAGAAGAAAAACTTTTTTAACAGGATCGTTACCGAGCTCTGAGAATGCCGAAAAAAAAACCATAGTCTATGGGTATGACCAACCAACTGATATGACTGACTGATCATACTACCAAGAAAGCAAAAAAAAACCAACAAACCTTTTTACGCGAGAAAATTGATGGCTGCAGTTTTTTGGGATGCTAGGGGCATCTTCCTTGTTGAGTTTAGCGTCGTATGACCATTACAGTCCAAGCATTTCAAAAGCAGCCTTGCTAATTTTATTTTAAGAAAATCCTATTACAGTATAGATGAGTTTTTAAATGATCACGTTGTGTAAAAATAAATTTGTTTTAACTAAATTTTGTTATTGATACATTTTGTTTATAGCACTTTTATTTTTATATTTTTAGTTTATTTTAGTCTTTTATAATTCCTTAGTCTTAAGGTATTTGTATTTTGACAATGTCACCTGTTTTATAGCATTGCTTTATTATGTTAACGTTATGTGACAATAAAGATTCATTATTTATTACATCTGCAGCTTATTGTGAAAACTTAACACGGCTACAACGAGCAATTTAAATAAAAAAAGTGCTATGGTCTTCTGACATCTGGCATTGTGTTTGTCCATGACAACGCTCACGCTCACCCTCACACAGCACAAAGAACATCTGAACTTTTGGAAAAGTTCAAATGGGACATTTTTGACCACCCCCTACAGCCCAGACTTGGTCCCAGTGATTTCCACCTTTTCCCGAACATGAAGCGGTGGCTTAAGAGTTGGCAGGACCGCCCGCCATCTTGGATTTTCTGCCCATAACGGCAATGTTAATGGTAAGGCGTAAGAAAGGGGTGGGCGCGTGAGAGAGGGGGGAGTGCGGGAGAGAGCGCAGCCATGGAGAGAGCAGGAAAGTGGCGCCTTAGTACCGCGTAACATCTGGTTACTGCTCAAGCACCTGTCAGTCTGTCTGAAGAGATATCTGCTTCCCGTCCGGGAACATCAAAAACCATAAGCAGATATATCCGCCACCCGTACTTTATCGCCAAAGACTAAGCGGATATATCGGTCACCCGTCCGTGAAGGGTTACAATAAATCAATAAGGTAATATATAAAAAAATGTTCTTTTTATTTTAGTTTTAGTTTATATTTTGTAATTCTTTGTGTATTAAAAGTTTGTATTTTGTTCATTCTGTATATTATGAGGAAAATAAACATATTATTTCATTCATTCATTCACAGGATTCCATCATAGATCAAACATACTCCCTTGGTAGAACGTAATAACAATAACCGACACATATAACATTTTGAAAGTAGATTATGACAGGAAATTTTTTTGTGGGAGTAAATATGATATTTTCTGTGGGAAATCACGAATACGTTACATAGCTTTTGAATAATTATTTGTTACAGCATTTCGGTTTGTAGGCCTACCTACATTTATTTACAAACTACTAAATATTTAGGGTTAAAAGGACTATAAAATTAAAAATTTTAATCAAAATCCTTTGGGCCGATTATGTTATGAAAACACAAATTTTCTGTTAATATTTTATGAAAAAACCACAAAGTTTGCAATAAATTTACAAAAAGAGAGCACGGGTTACTATGTCAAAGTGTCACCAGTCATGCTCGGGGTTAGGGGGAGACCAAATTCTGGTTACCCCTTCGTGTAATTTTTGCATCCAATTATGAGTATTTTACAGACACTTTAAGAGATTATTTGTATTTTTTATATTTTTATTAAGTACCTAGTTTTAATTCTGTTTGGATAATATTCTTCTTGCGTTTAAATTGTTGCTTATTCATTGGTGAATCTATTAGATTACCAGATGTTTCGTCACTGCAGCCCTTATAAATAAATGAGAAGCGCTCCACTGAAAGTAGTTCCTACACCATGATACAGGAGTATAAAGGCACTAGCAGGAAAATCAGACATCACTAAGCCGACCAGTCTATTTCCTTTCCCCAAGTGCTCAATTAATGGTGGCAGACCACAAAAGAGCAGTTGAAACTTGAGATAACAAGAGTGATTGATAGCGGTACCAATAATAAGAACAACTAAATGATAGATGAGAAAACATTGAAATGAAATGCTTGTTCGTCAAACATTATGGTTACATAATGGACATACAAACATGTGACACACTTTTGCATTTTATAAAGCTAAAAACAAACTAGGCCACTGTATAGTGTTTATCTTACTTTCATTAAGTAACACCCAACCAATGTTGCTGAGCGAGTTCGCCCAGCCTTGCAGTGGACATAGACTGAGCTTTCAGTGCTTTCAAACTTTTTGATAAAGTTTACACCTTTTTGAAGTTTTTCTTGAGATGGAGCTTCAAAAATATCAGTTGTACTGAGTTGTAGAAATTCAACCCCTTTTTCCTTCCATTCCTGGAAAAAAAATTTCACACTTTCACATTAATTCCTACTTTATTACAGTAGACTCTCAATAATCCAGCAGATGATTGTGCCGGATTACTGGAACGTCAATAAAAACACTTAAAATGCATAAAACAAGTGTTTAGTTGTACCAAAACAATTAATTATTATAAGTTGGGACGTGTCGATTCTTGATACCGCCAATACCGATACTTGGACATTTGTATCCACTCACTATTAACTGTAAACATAATAGTGCAAAGAGAACTTGTATTTGTATACATGATATTAGTTTGAACGGCTTAGACTATAATATACAAACGTTTTTTTTTATCTATTGCCAAACATATACTTGTTTTTGTGGGTTGAAGATATGTTTAGTTTAGAGTAGGGCCTATAGTCTCTTACCGGTCTTTAAAGTCATGTTTAGTCCATTTTAGGAAACAGAAAGTCCTTCGATGGTTTTTGATGGTTATAGCCATGGCTCAACTATTCCCATTTTGAGTGTCACAAGTATCCCCACCATCAATCACCATCTTTGTTTGGATGGCTGTTTCTAGGTTATACATGCACATATTTAAACCACTGTAGAACAAAAATAATAATTAATTTTCAAAGATTTTATTCACTATGTTTATTTTGGCTGAAAATAAAATTACAATTAATAAAAAATTATAAATTGCCTACCGGTAAGCTAAATTTTTTACTTAGAGATGTGAAAACAATAAACATGTTGCATACCTAAAGCCTTACTCCAAGCAAGATAGCTATGGTTTTCTTCAATTCAAGATGGTGGTGATACCAACCCTAAGGAGACAAATTGATCTACTAATAAAATAAACTGGGCGCCTCCAGTATCCCCACTCACCCCTATACATTTGGCATATTGGCAGCACTAATTAATTAAGAGCTATAGGATAGGCTAGCCTATATCTATATATATATAAAGCTTAATCTATCTAGGCCTATATATATAATAAGCTAAGCCAATTTTTGTGAACAGAACTCCTCCCTCATTTTTGGACCGATTTTAATGGTTAAAAAGTCAAAATAATGGCCCTGATCTGTAGTTTTGCAAAGTGTTTTTCATTTTTTGAAATATTTATTGGTTTGGGCAGGATTATCCATCAAAGTTGGGTTTTCTCCCATAAGATTAACATGGGGGAATCCAAATATTTAATTGGAAACTTTGTCTCCACTAATTTGAGAGAACGGCTGGGCTTAGAAACTTGGTAGAGGTGTCCAAAGAAAGGTCTTGGTCTCTAGATGAGTTATCAAAAGAAAAACAAAGTGAATCCCCTTAGGGCTCTGCCCCAGAAGCCCTTAAAGATCCCTCGACAGATTTGTTTACATTTTGATCATGTGGATAATACTTTTGAATGTATTAATAAAAAAACCAGCTGTTAATCTTCAGCTGTTAATTCTTAAATTGTATTTTAAACAACACACGTTTATTGGGAGTTATTGAATTGTCCAAAAGAAGTATTTGCAATCTTATTTACTGATTTTAAAATTGATTTTCTTTTGTATCATGCCATGTTTTGCAATAGAACGTTCCATTACAAAACCAGTTGACAATCATTTTATAGTAACTCTTACAATTATTCCTTATTGAACTATCTTATATCTATTGTACGGGTTAAGAAAGGGTTGGTGTCTGCCTTTATTACCACTTTTGCCTGTATTTTATCATATTATTCTAGACAGATCATCATAGGTTCATGAGATTATTGTCATAGATGTTTTCAATCATTGGAAAAGTCTTTGATTGTGTAATACAATACAAAATATTACAAGTGGAGAAGGGCACGTTGTCCATATTAGCCGTGTCCATATTTTGTTAAATTAATATTAGGGAGTATTTCATTTGGTCCAAAATCGTTTGGTCCAACAGCTTTAAAACAGTTCGTTTGGTCCAAAATCGTTTGGTCCAACAGTTGTAAAACAGTTCGTTTGGTCCAAAATCGTTTTATCCTCCAGATGGGGAGTATTTCATTTGGTCCAACAGTTTTACAACAGTTCGTTTGGTCCAAAATCGTTTAGTCCAAAATCGTTTGGTCCAAAATCGTTTGGTCCAACAGTGGTAAAACAGTTTGTTTGGTCCAAAATCGTTTGGTCCAACAGTTGTAAAACAGTTCGTTTGGTCCAAAATCGTTTGGTCCAAAAGTACAGGCAAAACCAGAATTACAATTTTGCATTGTGGAGTAAACTTTTGAAATGTTCTGTACGTTTCACGGTGGACCATTCGATCGGGTCGTTTTATCCAACACTCTAATACGAGTTCGTTTGGTCCAAAAGTATGAACTATTGCGTCCCTCACATTGAAGGCGTTCATATAATCGCCTTCACGTCGTCAACCCAACCGCTTGCCTTCCGTGGCCTATTTGTTGTTGTTATGTTTCTAAATAATTGATATGTTTGCATTTATATACACGTACACATACATATATTTATTTTTATATAATGTGTTTGGGTCCTGTTTACTTTTTATCCCCAGTCAATCTTAAAACAACGCGTTTTAATTCCCTAGATTTGTGGATAAACGTTGACTTTGCTTTGAGTTTGCATTTAATGTTAAACAGATGGTTTATTTAATTTATCTATATATTAAATTCAATCTGTGTTTGTCGTGTGTTTGTCATGGTATTTGTAACAATCATGTAGTTAATAATACAAATACATAAAGTGAATTTCTCATTGAAGATACATCCTATTTGTAAAACTTCCCAAAATGTTATGTTTACTCCCCATGAGAACCGTGAATAAATTATTGAAAAGAAAAGAGTTTGTATTTGTTGTGCCTTTATAAAAATTATAATTTTTGTTGTATACATTTAATAGTTTTTAGTACTGCAACGCGTGCCGGATAGATACTAGTCTGATACTGTATACTCGCAACTTCTTTTAGAACATTCTCTTTTTTGAAAGAATGCATTCAAAAGTCGAGGTAGACAGATATTGCATGAATCACGATTAATGCTTCTTAAGAACTGGAAACAAATGGTGATATTCGCCATGTAGGCCTACCTCCCTTCCTCCATTACTCCATGCAACCACTCCGATCAGTTTGAAGCACACAAAATTAATGTTTTGGCAGAGGCTATTCGCACGTCAGCTACCGCGCACGTCTGTTCCAAATGGTTCCACATTATACGTTCCTAATCCAGTTACTTTTAAAACTGTTTATAAACAGGTTGCACTCAAAGAAAAGAAAATCTAGTATAGGAACAGTACTGCCTCTTTCTTTTTTTTTAAAGAGGTTGGCGGCCTCTTTTAACCTTGCATTTGCCCGTCCACATACACTACAGATCTGTGCGTGGAACTTATCCAGCAAAGCAAGGGGTGGGCCGGTACAGTACAAAGGTGAACTGTAATGATAAAAGTTTGTGGCAGTGACCAGGATCCGAACCCACGACACTACTGCTTTGGGCCCGAAGTCCGCGACGCTACCAACTGAGCCACCGACTCACCAACCTCATTAGCCGAAATGGGTGGAATCAACTTCACGTTATCTACCCGCAACTATACGGTAATATTTATTATGAAATGGAACTGTTCTAAACTATTACCTAACCTAACCAAACTTGCTGTGTAACATTTCAAAAATTCCTTTTGATAGCAGAAATGGCTTTCGCGCTCAATCGACTGTTCTAACTTATTATGCCCGTCTTTCGCTTCAAAAATAAAAATGTTTAAGGGAACCTCCATCTTCCCAGAAATTGAATGTGAGCGAGTAAGTAATTCATAATGGCTTCTAGAGTAACTGTTCCCTTTGCATTATTTTGCAATACTGGAACGGGAACGGGTTTTGACGTCATTTTGACGTGCGAGTAGTCACTTCGTAATGTTTTTTGACACTGCCACCTTTAACTCCAGGCGGCGGCCTGGTAGAATTGGCAACGTTGCAAAAGGTGTTGTCTAGCGCCATACATCCCATAAGAAAACTTGGCAAACAGGTGACACCAGCTCATTCATTCGCATATTATCAATTTAAAATTAAATTTATGAACATAAATGTATTCAAAGATTAAAAATAAAACATATAGAATTGAAAACCAAAACAAGATTTAAATGGGAAATCCATTTTTGTACATTTAAAGTGGAGTGCATATTTTCATAGCCCAGTAACTAAGCTTTCATATTCTTTAAAAATACACAAATACTATTAGCTGCCTCCAAAACAAAACAGCTGTTACAACCCTACTTGCGATGATGCCACTTCGAAGGCCTCGGCCTTTTTGCTGTGCTGCAAATCGCTGCGAACTTGCTATGTGATATCTTGGAAATGACCGAGCTCCCGTGTGTGTCGCTCTTGCTATAGTCGCTACATGTGTGCGACATCAGTCGCTCACAGTCGTGCCGCTACAGCTCGCTATGGATCGCCCCGCCCACTCCGCTTTGAATCGCTGTATGTGTTTTTACCCTAAAAACATACTTAAAAGAAAAATGTGAATGTCAGGCATTGGAAGCAGTCGACGGCTTTAAATATCTAGGAATAATTGTAGATCATAATTTAAAATGGGATGCTCATATACTATATAAAAGAAAAACTTCGAGCATGTGCTTCAAAACTGTACACCTTACCAGATTACTTACCATTTAAGACATTAAAAGTTATTTATGCATCTATGTGCGAGTCACTTCTTAGATAGGTATGGATTACAGTAAGATTATGGAGAAATGCCCCAATATCAGAATTACAGAAACTGCAGACTGTCCAAAATAGAATATTAAAGATAATCACTAAGCTTGATTCTGCTAATTGTAAATGAATTTCCAATGCTGTGTTATCAGTTGACAGGTTTTCTTCCAGGAGAAAAACTGTTTACTTATTTGTTGATTTCAAAACAAAACATGTCCATAGATATAACTCCAGGAAGGAATTTTATATTGTTCCTAATCAAATCATGTTTATTTGCACATAAACGTACAGAGGTTATAGATAAATGCACAGGTGCTTTGTCATTCTTCCTAGTATAAGAAATAAGTATACAAAACAAAACAAGGAGTTATTTGGTACCTACACTATTCAATAATCTGCCAAAAAGTCTAAAAGAGGTAAACACTTATAAATTGTTGAAGGGCAAGTTGAAAAATCTTTATTTATTTGTATAGTAGAGAATTCACACAGCTTTCATGAAAAAATGCTTTTGCTTACATTTTTTGTGTGTTTTTGTTTAAAATCTAAATTATAATTGAATGTTATAATTAATCTTTATAGTCATTTTAGTTCTTTGTTACTGTTGATAATTAAATTTTAAAACTTATTATACTCATATTAAAGAAGTTTTAGATAACATATTATTATTTATATCAATTTTGTTACAGTTTTTCTTAGCTCAACTATTTTATGTTTCAATTTTATATGTTTATAGGCTACTCATGTTAAATTGTTTGTTAAGTTTGATGGTTCAAGCTTTGTTACTGTTTAGGAAGGGAAAACTAATAAATTATGGCTGACTCAATGTGATGCATTAAAAAGACACTCAAGATAAATCAATAGATGCTACGGACAAGCCTTTTATGAGGCTTATGTAGCTTTGTGTTATACAGGGGTGCCCAGAGGGGGGGTACTAGGAATTTTTGGGGGGGACTTTTTTTGAGGGGATTTTGGGGGGGATATTATTTTGCTAGCTGTCATAATGAATGAATAATTTTGTATAAGCAGCCCGAAAAAGTGTTTCTAAGTAGCTCACTATCAACACCAACAACATTTTGCCATTCGTAATTAAGATTTGCTTCTAAGAATGGTAAAAACGCACCTTGTCAGACAATCCTTAATATACCAGTGTCAGTGTCGAATTTTATTTGCTACATATGTTTTGGTGGTTCTTTACCTCCACCACACAAAACACGAATCGATTACAGATAGGCCTATCAATTCACGCGTATATATTGCCGACGTCAGGACTGGAAGTAAACTGAATCAGGTTCAGGTTATGACGGACAGACGTGGTCTCTGGATTGTCGTCTGCGTTTTGACCAGCTGATATAGGACTATTGTAGTGACTGAGAAGAGTGTTAAAGTGAAATGGGATTCATAATTAATTGAGTATTTTCACTTAAAAATTCCCTAGTTTTATGTATTTATATATTTCAAACTCCTCAAAGTATTTAATAGATTTCCTTTCGCGCAGTACTGTAGAATTTCGAGACCATAATTTATATCCAGCAGATAAATTGGTTATAATTGTCAATAATTTTAAATGGAAAACTCAATTATGAATCCCATTATATTTTCAACACTCTCCTCCGTCACTACAACTATAGTCCAATATCAGCTTTTGATAACACAGACGACAATCCAGAGACCACGTCTTTCCGTCATAACCTGATTCAGTTTACTTCCAGTCCTGCCCGCGGCAATATACACACATGAATTGATAGGCCTATCTGTTATCGTTTCGTGTTTTGTGTATAAACAGATTGTCTGACAAGATGCGTTTCTACCATTATTAGTCATAAACGGTAATCCTGGGGCTATCAAAATTAATTATAAGATTACTTCGTCACAAAAACCTTTTGTGGGTATTTTGCCTGGCGATTTTTGTAGAGTAAAATCGAGTTTTTGGAGTGTGTTGTTTGGAGTGGCGGTGTTTGTACAGCCAGGGAGTGGCAAGCAACAAGTCTGTCTTATTTCGTGACTCTGCCTATAATTTTGAAAAAAAAACTTTTTGTCAAAGTATTATTAATGCATTTTTAAAGCTGTTTGATTTCTTAAAATTCTTCTCTGAGATTCTTTCTCTGTAAAAATTAACGCCATCTAATATATTGTACAGTTACAATACTGTGTTGGAGTAGAGTAATTCACCTAGTATATTGTTGTACGTTTTGAAGACGTTGTCTATTGCAATACTGAGCACATGTTAGCTGACAATAGAGATTCTGAAATGTAAATTGAAACACTTCTAATTCATCCATTAGTTAGATATACCTAAAATGAAGTACAGTAGAGTCCCTCAAACTCGGCACTCGATAACCCGGCAGTCTGGATAACTCGGCCATCACCTGGCTCAGAAAATTAGTGATTTTTTTAGTCCGAGTTAAACAAGCTAGCTCAAGTATAATCATTTGCAACTTGTACTAAGGATTTGTTGAACTATATCTGATGACTTAATACTGACTTGCAATATAAATCTAATTAAAAAGGGGTTAAATAGCTTAAAAATTGTATTGTTCTTATTTTTAACTCTACTTCCCGATAACCCGGTATTTCACAAACTCAGCACCCTTCCAGTCCACATTACGCCGGGTTTGCGCGACTCTACTGTATTGTTAAATGTTGTTAACGTTTCCTATTAAACATTAAATTTTTATTATCAGTTTGTTTTTCTTTACCTCAAGTTTACTAAATGCTTAATTGGAATGCTCGTTTTATGAGGTAAAGGGATAATTGTCAGATAAATTGGTGGGGGGAGGGTAGGTTTAAATAGACGACAGCATAAATTGGGGGGGAGAACTTCTCCTTTGGCTTGGGGGGGGGGGATTGCGCCTCTGGGTTTGGGGGGGGGGGATGGGCACCTCTGGTGTTACAGTATAATGCCCTTTGTCATTGTGTTTGTTTTGAATAAATAAATAGAACTGAATTGAATAACTAACAACACACTGCACTTGTTGACTGCACATGAGGACGAATAATTACTGTAGGGTACTGTAGGGGTTGTCTGTTGTCACCGCTGGGGTGGGGAATCGCTCCGGTGTGAATGCCCCAGTGATACCGCCGCGGCGGTAATTGTGGATGGGGGGGGGGAGGTGAAAAAACACACCGATGCCGCCACCGCTCTCATCACTCCGGTGTGTGCAGGCCTTTATTGAAATCTACAATAGGCCTATAAATTAAATTATTGCACTGGTACGGATACACTTTACTTTTCAACTTAAGACGATGATTATCCAGTTAGCCTAATTCTTACCTCGGCATTGTTTGAGAACATGTATAGCTCGTAATCTTCATTCATAGATACAACACCTTTTACTTTTTCTTCATTCATGAGCTTAAAAAAAAACAACTTTGTTAATAGAGTGTTAGTAACTAACCCACAAAAAGATCAATGACAGCCACGTACGCAATGCAAATGAAGACTTTTCGTATTAAGTGTAACAAGACCATAGTTTAGTGTACCACTATGCACCTGACAATGGAGTTATATCCGAAACGGCTGTAGAGAAGTATCACCCCTGATTGCGTAGACAGTAAGAACCAAATTTATTATTAGTATCGATATTTAAAAAAATCAAATTGTTAATAATGAATGTTCCTTATAACAGGAAAGCGGGTAGGCCCTACACTTATGTTTACTTCCCACATTTAAGTTACTATTAACACGTTCACTGCAGCCTGCTGCTATATGAGTAGTGTGCTAGCCTGCCAAATATTGTGTCTGTCTGAGCTTAGCACTCGGCTGACGACAATGTGATTGTTGCCAGGCTGCAGCTTAGAATACAAGCTTTATTTTGGTGTCTCAGTTTAGTACTAAAAAAACCTGTAAAATCCCGTCTGGCGATGCCATTGTCTCGTTTTTGGGGATTTTCTCTATTCAAGCCATATTACAATGACTCTGGTTATTGATCCAGGCAGTGCTGCTACCTTTGGGTGTTTCAGTGAACTAGGGTATACGTCCACTTTCGAAGTAACGCAGAACAATCACCACTGCTCTTTTGTGAAAGATTCGTCTTAAATAGCGACCGCTGATTCAGTAGCGCGCCGCAGTTTAGGAGCGCCTGCGTAAAGATTTTCAGCAGCGAACGTGTTAAGTTTATAGGCCTAACTTAGGCTACATTACCTATACATTAACTACCACCTGATTATAAAATGAAGCTGTTCTAAAATAACCTTAACCTAACCAAACATGCTGTATGTGAGTATATGTGGGGTGTAAACTAAAGTGCGGCCTGGAAAGCACCCATTCACGACTCTCATCAATGACTGAAATCATTGCTTTGCCCTCGACAGTAGACTCAGCTTGGAGGAAAGAAAATCATGTTAAAGTGGGAGGACACACTTTGTTACAGTTTAAAAAAGTCAGCAGCTTTGAAAAATCCTTCAAGGTACCGGTAGCCTACAACACTTCAGAAAATGTTTGTGATTTCAAAAGGTCCATGCTGATCATATAATTCTTGGGACATTACTTTATTATTTTTTTGTGGATTGGTTTTACAGCAGAAAATTGTAAGGTGTCTTATAAAAATACCTTTTGCCGAAGGACTACAGCTGAATGGCCAAGGAATTATTTAAGCCTCAAAACATTTTATATTAAAGCCTACCACTTATACGTAGGCCTACCTGTTGGGTCATATTTCTGAAAGGAAGAGCTCCTAATACAACTGTGTCATCAATTCTGTCATACCAATTTCTATTCGTAACTTTTTCCATCACAACATTGTAAAACAAAGAAGGATAAAAACTTAATCTTGCTAACATTTTGCTTTATAAACGACAGGGTGTCAGTCAAACTATTGTTAGATTTCAACTTCAATAAAATGAGTAGACCAATAACAACGATACAGTAAGTTAATTCTGTAACGACAATAAATTGTCACGGATGAGCACAATTTATTTCACTTTGTACCGTTATGTGTTGACGAAAGCATAGCGGATTCCTCAACAAATCGGTTTAGGATTGAGGTTACATTACAGTATTTATAAACTTCTCTTGTTGGTTGACATTGTTGAAAAACAACCAAATTCATTCAGCTGTTGGATAAAAACAACAATAATAAAACTCGTCCTGTTGCAGACGCCGGTGGAGGAAAAGTGTGATAGATTGATGTGGATAGATTATTTCAGATAAAACATACTCCCTTGTGTTGGTTAGTCTATGATTGTATTATCGTAGTTTATAAAAGGTGGCAGGATGAGGATGGTACTACAACTAATTGTGTACAATGGTTCATCCACCGGATGACTATTAAATAGTTCAATTTTGACATCCGAAGAAAAGAGGTAAGGACAGAGGAGTATGTTTAAATCATAATAAAACTTGGTAATTATTTGATTTGCTAAAACTTATTTACCCTGACAGATTATTGCATTTTTATGGATTATTTGAAAAAAATGTGCTCATGTTTCTTTTCAATTGCATTTATTACGATGATGTTTATTACACTTTAATGTCAGCAAATTGGTATTGTATTGCTTTTCTTTTCAACAACATGTAACCACATGTAACGTATTGTTAATATTTGTATCACAACCAAAAGGTTAACTACACACTGTAAAATGGTATCCAAAAATAAAAAGAAAGTATCTATTAAACAAGAAGAACCCACTTTTTGTTTTGACGTAATTAGACATTTTTATAGTTATGTTTTATCTTTGGTGATATTTTGCTGTAAGAAGGGTTTTTCTAGTGGGGCCTTGACCAACCCACTTAAGCCCAGTATGAATGAAGATGAGTGGAGTATGGTAGGATGAGTGGCGCGATCTTGTAGTCTTTGTTATTGACTAAGGCCGACATGTTCCTTAGACACAGCTGTTAATTAATAGCCCATACATCTAATAATGGCAACTAAGAGACCTACAGCCACGGCCGCCTTTAACTACAGGCCGCGGCCTTCGAACTGGCAACGTCGCAAGTGGTGTTGTAACAGCTGATTTTTTTGGAAGCAACTAATGGTATTTGTGTATTTAGGAAAGATTGATTACTACTGGACTATGACAATATTGACTCCGCTTAAAAATGTACAGATATAGATTTTAATTCATATTGTTTCAATTTTCAATTCTGTATGTTTTATTTTCAATATTTTAATAAATTTTTGTTCATAAATTAAAAATTAAATCAAGAAAGTGCGAATTAATGAGCTGATGTCACCTGTCTGCCATGTTATCTTATGGGGCGTCTGTCACTGAACAACACCACTTGCGATGTTGCCAATTCTACCAGGCCGCGGCCTGTAGTTAAAGGCGGCCGTGCTACAGCTCTAGTATATAGTGGAATACGAACCACATTTTTGCCTTGGTATGGTATTAACAAACTGGTCTTCTGCTATCAAAAGGAATTTTTAAAATTTTACAGCACGTTTGGCTAGGTAAGGTTAGTTTAGAACAGTTTAATTTCATAACCAATAGTTGCGGTCATGGTCAGACTTGTCAAGTTGGTTCCATCCATTTCGGCTAGTAAAGTTTAGACTTTAGAGCTTAGAGGTACTACCGTTCCTAATACTAGGTTTTCTTTGTGTGCAACCTGTTGCCTAACAGTTATAAAGTAAGGTCGATTCACACACATCAGTTACGGCACGTTGCAGTCCAGTCACGTCACAGTTAACAAAAAATTCTTGAATGGATTTTCTGTAGCGCTATCTACACTCACCCGTTGCAGTTCCGTGGGTAGCTCAGCAGGCGTCCGTCAGTCAATTTCAGATTTCTTTTCACCGATTATTTTGGATTGTTTGGACGCCTGACGGACGTGTTTGATGTTAGAAAATAGTATTTTTAGCGAATGTCCCATATAGGGAATAAGCTATTACCGTAGGTCACATGGTAAGACCTGGACCCGGGACCGATTAACTTTTTCCTTTTGAGGTCCCTAGAGGGCAAAAACACCATCCGTTCAAATTCATATATACTTATATATACATATATACTCATATATATACTCATATGTATACATATATATATGTATTCATGTATGAACGTATGTGTATAAATTTTGTATAAACGTGTAAACCTATACATTTATTCGAACGAGTTCGCGAACCAGCATAATCGGACCTTGGGAACGGGAGTTTCATGGGGTAAAAATGGGTTTTTCCTATTTTTGACCCTAAAAACATAAAATTTTGGAATATCTTTCTCAACCATTTTGCAGAGCTTAAAAAATAAATAATTTAGTATATTGAAGCATTGTTGTATGCCTAATGGTTACAGAGAAAATTCAAAAAGTGTACATTTAAATTTCCCATGTTATTCTTAAGGAGAAAATGAAAAATGTTGTGGTCGTAGTTTACTTGTTTATGGATTTGATTACTTGTTTATACAGTATGTTGATAAAATTTGGCAAATTTATTTATTTCATACTATTCTTTTGACGTTTGGTCAAAAAACACTTTTTACCTTCCCCGTAGCTGCAAACCTAAGCACTTGTTAAATCTAATGTTATTTAAATTGGGAATAAATATTTATTATTTATGGAGATATTTTAGTAAAAATGTAATAAGACAAGTGGAAATTCGCTTAGGCTAAAGGTTTGCTGCGGCAATGGGTATTTTATTTAAATGATCGACTTTATATCTTCAGTAATGTTTGTAACAATCAACAAGACAAACAATGAAAATTATATAGAATATTGTGTTTTTAATTAAACATTTTTGACTCTAACAACACTGTAAATAAAGTGACCGGAGAGTAACTGCAACCAAATGACTGATAGTTTGACTGAGAATTGCGGCTGCAACTGTGACTGGACTGATATGTGTGAATCGACCGGAACGTAAAACTGTATGTCGTCACGTCATTTGAATGAAACAGACGCAGACAGAGGTTTTGGTGCGAATCCGAATCATGCTCTGTGATCCGAGCCCTGGATCCGAATAGCCTTATTAGCACAGACAATATAAAGTGCTCTTAGCCGCACGATTTTTATTTCAGCTGCAGTTTTTTAATACGGACAAAATGAGAGTTTAAAAATTATAAATAAAAAAAAAATATTATTTTAGGCTTGAAACTAAAAAAAATATATAGTTAATTTTTTAATTAAACTGTCATAACCTAACCTAACTAACCAAACTTGCTGATAATGACAAAATTGAATGAAGGTTTACTAATAGAAAAAATAATTCTGTTCATAAAATAAAACTATAAATGCCTCAAATTAAATTTTATATTTTTTAATTATAAAATTAAACTGTGATAACCTAACCAAACTAACCAAACTTGCTGATAATGAAAAAATTGAATGAAGGTTTACTCGAAAAAAAGTTCTTTTCATAAAATAAAACTATAAATAGCTCAAATTCAATTTTATAAGGTTTTAATTATAAAATTTAACTGTTATAACCTAACAAAACTAACCAAACTTGCTGATAATGCAAAAATCTTAGACAAAAAGTTAGTGCCCCCAATGGGTTTCGAACCTGGTACCATAAGTTTCGAAACCCGGCACGCTATCCACTAGACCACCGAGGCCGATAGCTTCACCCCATTTCATTGCGCTAATGGTGTTCCCTCAGCCAATAGAATGCTCTCATATGTTCTTATTAAAATAACTGGAGCTGAAATAAAAATTGTGCCTCTTAGCCTCTGTCCTCTGTCTTCATCTTCCCTTCAACTAGCACTCGACGTTCTGTACCCACGAGCACCTCAGCTTCCACAAGCACAAAGGCCTTGGAACAGTTCCTGGGATAACAGCTATTTGTGTAATAGCTTCACTGTATATCTTTATTGGACCTGTTTAGATAGTTGTTTCTTTCAACAGTTACAGTTGCGAACTGTGCATTGTGATTTTGTAAAGGTGTTTATTCTTACTAGCGTCTAGACTGCCAGTGCAACTCCGAGGAACGAGGATCAGAGGCGCTAAAATTGTTATCTCTATCACTGTTGCTGTCAAAACTTATCATTTGTAGGTTAAATTTAAATTAAATAAAATTAAACTGTCATAACCTAACCAAACTTGCTGATAATGAAAAACTCGGATAAAGGTTTACTAATCGAAAAAATAGTTCTGTTCTAAAAATAAAATTATAAAATAAATGTTATTGTTAGGTCGTCGGCTACTCATCACTAAAATAAATTAATCACAATTTACTAAAAAATGTGGTGTATTTCAAGTTTACATCAAAACTCATCTTCAGCCTCTAGACACAACATATTAACTAATTTATATTATATTTATTGCATATTTATTATAATTGATTCATGGCCATCAGTATTATTTTAGTTAGTATAAATTCTCTTGTTACTGTATATTTAAATGTTATATTGTCATTCTTATTTATATTCTTATTTATATTTTATATTCTTTTATTTATAGTTTGAGTGAAACTGTCACCATTGAAGACGGACATTTTTCCCTAGTTGTGTTTATTATTAATTGTAATACCATGTTAACATTCCTGTTATTTGATTAATGCTACAAAGTAATTGGCATGTGCTGTTTTGTAGCATTGAAAATAAAATAAATAAATAAATAAATATCAAGTAAATAAACTATCATTATGTTATGTTGTGTCTAGAGGCTGAAGATGAGTTTTGATGTAAACTTGAAATATACCACATTTTTTAGTAAATTGTGATTAATTTATTTTAGTGATGAGTAGCCGACAACCTAACAATAACATTAATAATGCCATCACGAAGAAAAAAATATACCGGAATGTGTAAAATAAATGTCTCAAATTCAATTTTATAATTTTTAAATTATAAAATTAAACTGTCATAACCTAACCAAACCAACCAGACTTGCTGATATGAAAACAAATTGTTGACAAAAAGTTAGTGCAATCAGTGGGATTCGAAGTAGTTAAAGGCGGCCGTGTTCAAACCCGGCACCTTCCGATTATCAGCCCGACACTCTATCCACTACACCACCAAGGCTCATGACTCAATTAATTCCGTATCGTTGCGGTAATGGTTGACGTTGACGTCACGCCATCGGCACGGAGCGGTGGTTTTCCGATCTGATCCTCGTTCCTCGGACTCGGAGTTGCACTGGCAGTCTAGACGTTCATTCTTTATCTTTACTGTTTGTTTACTTTTTTTGACTTGAGCTGCTTGAAAAGAAAAGGTGTTTTATGATTATGAAAATTTAAGTGTTGAAGTGTGCTGAAGCTGATTATTTGTGATTAGTTATTGACAATTAAATATTTTGCGTGCATGAATTATTTAAGTTATGAAGTTTTAAATGTTCACTTAACCTATATTTTTCGGATTCCTCAAGAAATAGTGATTGTTAGGTTAGGTTAGGTGTTTGTGTGTGAATTTGTTAGATTGCAGTTTTGGTAGTGGTAGTGGTAGGTCTTAGTTAGCCTCTAAGGTAAACTTAGGCCTACTCTTATAAATAGATAAGTTATTAATTTAACTTTTTAAAAGCAATAACTAATACCTTAACTCCACTGAAAGGCCCAACTAACAATCAAAATAAACCTAAGGTAAATCTAACAAATTCACACACAAACACAACTCAACCTAACCTATTAACAATCACGAGAGGGAGAAGAACCGATTCAAGGGAGAAGAATGGATGAAGAAATGAGATTAAAGATAGAATAAAATAAAGTGTAAAATATTTGTAAATTATTTTCAGCAATTTTTTTGTTAACTGCTAACTTAATAAGTGAACGTATAGGTAAATATATCTGCTATATACTTACATTATATTTGCACAATACTTAACTTGCGTGAACCTGGCAATAACTCCAGCAATAAGTAGTGAGCTCATTTTCAAGATGAGCTCGTTCGCATGGCCCAATCACGTCCTGGTTGAAGTTCGTTCGCTACGCTCACTCACCTTAAGGTTGGAGCGCGAGCACTACTTATTGCTGACTTAACACCCCCTAACTTACCCACCAAGTACATGATATTGATACTGTCGTGTCCGTAAAAGTGTCCTCTATCTGGTGACTTTCTCGGTAATAACCTACGCGGCCGTATTTTTCTTTAAAATGGCCAGCAATAGATTTTATCGACTTATTGCTGACTTTACCCCCCCTAACTTACCCCCCAGGTACATGATATTGATACTGTCTTGTCCGTTAATGTGTCCTCTATCAGCTGACACTCTCGGTACAGTAATAACCTACGCGGCCGTATTTTTCCGCTAAACGGCCAGCAATAGATTTTATCGACTTATTGCTGACTTTACCCCCCCTAACTTACCCCCCAGGTACATGATATTGATACTGTCGTGTCCGTTAATGTGTCCTCTATCAGCTGACACTCTCGGTAATAACCTATGCGGCCGTATTTTTCCGCTTAACGTCCAGCAAAAGATTTGATCAACTTACTGACTTTACCCCCCCCCCCCTAACTTACCCCCCAGGTACATGATATTGATACTGTCGTGTCCGTTAATGTGTCCTCTATCAGCTGATATTCTCGGTAATAACCTACGCGGCCGTATTTTTCCTCAAAACGGCCAGCAATAGATTTTATCGGGCGCGCGAATTACTTATTGCTGGAGTTATTGCCAGGTTCACACCAATCAATACTTAACAGAATAGAAGTGGGGATAACTTCGGCACCCTATGAATAGTGTTGTCATCATTTTAAGAACTGAACTTTGGGTACAGTTTCTTAACTGGGCTATGCTAATATCGATTCAAACTATCGATTTAATCAAATTGCGATTTAATTAAAAAATCCTGTAAAAATGTTTATCTTATTGACCACTATGTTTGTGCAAAATATGAATAAACACTCTTAAACCATTTAAAAATGGCAGCTTTCAAAAATATTTAATAAAAATTCCATGAAAACTGTTTTATATATGTTTTTATATTTTACAAAATATTTGCAAGACATTTGTAAAATTTTGTAAATGTTACAACCAAGGGCATGAAGTTGTTTGTATGATGAAGAAATATGATAATTTGCAGGTTGTAAACACATAACAAAAACAGCTCAACTCATAGTAGTGTAGTGAAAAATATGTTTAAACTTATGCAGCACATTAAAATTTATTCAAAATCATTATCTAAAAGAAATTAATAGAAATTTTTTTTAATACCACGTTTTTAAACGCTCTAAAAATTGAAAAAAAATGTATAAATATGTGGAGGGAGAGAATTGCTTGTAACATTTAAAACAAAAAACGTGGGGCGCATGCAATAGCTAATTTAAGGTTTTCTTCGCATATTGAATTATTTGCTAGTAGCAAGATGAGAGAGTTGGGGACCTTTTTGGAGCTAAGTTCATTGGAAAATATCGTCGTCGTTCTCATGATGAAATGCTGCAGTTACTTACTGTCATTAGAAGACAACGTCAAGGAAGAATATAGCCTATATTTAAAGTTAATATTTGATACATCCTTAATCGGTGCAAAAATGTTAAACAGTAGCCAATAACGTAATCAGCAAACAGCTCTTGGGACACACAGAGAAGTTCCAGAAGTAGTACCAACCCCATGAATCCAGACACAATAAAGTGTGTGATTATCTGAGAGACTAATGTGACATAAGAATAAGAATAGTATATTGCATGATTCTGTCTGAACTGACTTTGAAATGTGTTCTGCGCGTGTGCCAAACCAAGATGCATGCTGCATGCAGCGCCAACATACCGAACGATCGGTTCTTAGTGGTGCTGCAAGCTGCAAAATGCCGGTAGCTCTGTGCCAGTCGCATGTGTGTAAGCTTGACGTGATTAACACAGGTTGATTTTCAAGCTGCATGCTAGTAGCAAGAAAAATGCTAGACACACAGTGTGAGATGCATGTGTGTGTAACCCGTTTAACTTATATTAAACAAGTTCAAATAGGACATTGTGTTACTGTAAATGCATGTGTATGTATGTATGTATGACTAAGGGAGTATGTTTTATCTATGGTCCAACTGAAACATTTAGGCCTACCAGTACAACCTTTTATTTATTTACCGTCTTGTGAGTTAACAGTATAGGCCCTAAGTGTAGATATATTATTATAAGTGTTATTATTTACGGGTACAGTTTCTTAACTGGGCTATGTTAATATCGATTGAAACTATCGATTCGATTAGTAAACCTTCATGCGATTTTTTCACAATCAGCAAGTTTGGTTGGTTAGGTTAGGTTATGATAGTTTAATTTTATAATACTTGGATATATTTAAAAATATCGATTATTAATCAACTAGTGTACATGTTGCTCGAAATCGAGCAATTGCAAAGAAGTACAGGAGTTATTTACAAACAAATTACTTGGTTTAACACTTATAACAGTCATAATTTCCAATGATTTTAAAAGAGCAAAATAGCCAACTAAAAGATTATCAACCAACGGAAATAATTACAATTTACATAACAGTCCTTTTCCATTTTAAAGGGTGAATTTTTAACAATCAAACTACCCATGGACGTGAAAAGGTAAGCTTACAATTTAAGGTCAACGTAAAAAGGCTGTCAGCTTTTATTAAGTACCGTACCTAAGTTATTTAGCCAATTTGTAGACAATAAGGTGTATGCTACTCTACAGGACAGAGTTAGGCAAAAACTGGCAGAAATCTGAAATGCTGTTATTTATCATAGGCTTAGTCATATACCAAATCCTTAAAATAAAAATTTAATAACTAACTTATATCATTAAACACAAACCAACATCCAAAACTATACACATTTTTAATACAACTTTTCGATAATTTACACATTGACTGTTTACAACATATCTTTTTCTTCTCACTATTAATTTTTGCTTTGCAACGGGAACGATTTGTTTCATAATTATTGAAATAGATTTATAATAATCTATCATACAGTTTAAGATTAAATAAACCTACCACATAGTTCTTTTATTTTTTCTATCAGCTGTCTAAAATTGTGAAATAGGCATTTGACAGTTCTGGTTGTTTACATTTAAATGTCAAAGCAAATGTAAACATTGTGAATTTTCTCATGCTACCATGGAGACCAAATATTAATATTTAATTTCTGACAACAGCTGGAGTTTCAAAACAGTTTCTGTTTCCCATGTTAATCTTATGGAGAAATACGAAACTTTAAAGGACCCCAGGGCCTCACTCTCTAATTGTTTCCCTAAAAAGAAAGTTTCCTGCACAACTTCACGTTACGCTCTTTCCAATGACACCAAAAACATGTCAATCGGTTCAGTAGTTTCGGAGGAGTAATTGTCACAAAATTCCTGCTTGCGTATTAAATAAGTATAGATAGATATTTTCAATTTGATAGTTTCAATTGATATTAGCATAGGGTAGCCCAGTTAAGAAACTGTAGGCCTACCCCTGAACTACAACATAAGTTAGTTGGGTCGTAAGGCCCTTTTTCTGGTAAATTTGGGTACACTTCCATATCTGTTGGCACAAACAACCGAATGAAAATATCAATTGATTATTCGATATGTTAACCTAACTAACCAAATGATATGTCGAATTAAACAATCGAACTATCAATATTACTCATTCGGTTGTTTGTGCCAACAGATATGGAAGTGTACCCATAAATTTAATAAAAGGAATTATGCCCAATAGCTAGAGATGTAAAATACCCATGTAAATACAGATTTGGGTATTTCTGAACTTTATAACTTAGACTTTTCTTTTAAACGTTTCTAAACCATTCCTAACTTACGATACGATCTTAATAAACAGGAAAATACCTTGAATTTATTAAGGCGCGGAATTCACTGCAAATTGCGAAAATATACGGACCGGTGACTACTTACTCTTGGGCACCTATTTGTGTTGCCAGCTGATTAGAAATATAAGGATTTAATAAGCAATATATCGAACAGCATCGAAATCGATATTTAATCCGATACCTCACAGGTTATATGTTGAATGACATCTACGGTACAGTAAGTTATTACACTCAAAAACCTGGTCGCTTAAGGTGAATTAAGGCAAAACGTCGCGCCGTGCCGTGCCGCATCTGGTGTGCGCCTGGCCTTAATAAAACGCAGATTGAACACTCTAATTTAGGCATGTGGGGAAGGTAGGTCGGGGTTTATGAGTATTCGTGGCTCCATTAAGTGTTTTGAAGTAAGGATAGATTAGGAAGGTAAAGTTGTAGGTTATAGCGGACTACTATAACCCACATGCATCTGGTTTGCGCCTGGCCTTAATAAAACGCAGATTGAACACTCTAATTTAGGCATGTGGGGAAGGTAGGTCGGGGTTTATGAGTATTCGTGGCTCCATTAAGTGTTTTGAAGTAAGGATAGATTAGGAAGGTAAAGTTGTAGGTTATAGCACATAAAACGGACTACTATAACCCAGAATGCCAACCGCATGGTAAAAAGCATTAAGCGTTTTGAGAGAGCTTTGCCTGTCAATCCGTAGGCAGCGCCACCAGCGTTGCCATGCACTCAGCATAGCAACGCTGGTGGCGCTGCCTACGGATTGACAGGCAAAGCTCTCTCAAAACGCATAATGCTTTTTACCATGCGGTTGGCATTCTGGGTTATAGTAGTACGTTTTCTGTGGTTATAGGTAATCTAATCGGGTTGTTTATTTGTCTTGCACCATATTGTTTTTTATCTTTTGGAATAGTTGGTGAAACGGGGAAACAAATTTAAAAATGCTTGCAAATCATTGTAAATCATTTCAGATCTTATAGCCGAGCAATGTGATGAACAACAGCTGATCATCTTTAGCAGAAGCTACTTGATGTTTGGAAGAATGTCAGAGATGACTGACTGAGATGAGACACTGACTGAAATTCAGTCACGCAAAAACCACCCACTCGGCTCAGGGAGGTTGGGTTTTTGAACTTATAAAATGGATTGCAATGTATTGTATTAATGTATTAATAAATTAGTATTTGTCGTTCTATTTAAATAATCTAAAATGTGTTCACATTGATTAAATAGATGTTTTACATTAAAAGCTAATTAACTTGTCTAATAAATGTTTTAATATTCAATCTTAACAATGCTGGGTCTCCCGGTAATAATTATTTATAATAATAGGAATAGGTCTATTCATATGTTGTCTCAATTTAAAATTAAGTACAATTTTAAATGACAACTGCAATAAAGGGCATGTGGGCAAACCCATTTTATACATTAATCGACCTCAAGCCAGAAGTATTCTCACCAGTCTTCTCCAGTTAATTCAAATATCGTACCCATCGTATGTTATGGGTAAGATGGATTGCAGGGATCTTGTACATATAGCCTACATAAGGATGATTCTGGTGGCTTGAACAGTTTAGACATGGCTGATCAGTTGATGCAAATTATCCCTGGTGCTGAAATTGTTTTAATAAACTTTGTTTTCCTAGTGTAAAATGTCTGGTGCTCCAACCCGATCCCCACCTGCAGATCTGCTGACTTCCTCACACACAGTTCCTGAATTCCTCACGACTGATGATGATGACTCAAACCTTTGCCTTGATGATTTGCAACAGTATGTTAACAAAACCATCACCAAAATTAAACCAATGCTACAAACAGGTCCTAAGTAAGTCGTTTGGCTATTCCAATAGGCAGGAACTTATTATTCCCTTATTCAGCGGTTCCCAACCTATGAGTCGCGCAAGGGTCCTCATAATACCACAAAATTCTTTTGTGGTGGGTCGTGAGAAGCAATCAAAGATTCAAAAAGTTTTTCATCGGACTCACGGTAATTTTTACAACCCAAACCAACGGACATAAACATATTTTTAGGTAAAAAAACTGCCGCAGACTCCTGCTCTGCTGAAATAAAAATAATATAACAATAAATCCATAGGCATATCTCATGACATGTTACACTTCAACTTTAAACTAAAACGAGTATAAAACATTTATCTGGATGATTGCTACACGTTTCAAAGGGTGCATGGTGAGATGCACTATTAAAATGGATGTTCAAAACGAGAAAGAAAGTATGAATTCAGCAAGCTGGTATCGAAAAATCAATATGGGTTTATAACGTCGTGTATGTGTGAGGGTGCATCCCTAACTTGGGGTATTTGCAAAATAAATAACTACATTAATAGGCTATGTGGAAAAATATCAAGCTCATAAGATGTCAATATTCACATAAGTACCTCCTTTGACTAGTCAATGGTACCTCCTTGTAAGTAGAGAAGTTCAGTCCTCAATAAGTTTATGAAATAATATTATTTTGGGCTAAATAATGTGTCTTCAATTAACACCTCTTCAACATTTTTAATTAACTAGAGAACCTGTTGCTCGAATTCGAGCTATTGTAAAGTATTACAGGCGTTATTTCAAAACGAATAACAGTCATAACTTCCGATTATGACTCAAAAGAGTCAACTCAAAGATGTGCTCCACTCTAGTTATCAAAACTGCAAAATGAACTTACTCTGAAAACGAACACTATTGTGTGTATAATGTGTTTACTAATGAACAGCTGTAATTTATACAAATATCTGTTAAAGTAAACAAAATCTTTTCATCATAAGAAATACATTGCGATTTTGATGGCCTGTGGGGCAAAGCCCGAGGACTTTTATTACAGAAATTGGTGAAAGGGGGCGTCTACACAAAAAATACTTAATTTTGACACATCGTTGGTAAAAATCCGTCCATTATTTACGAAGGAGTAGTGTTTCATAGAAAACGCCTTAACGTATTATAAGGATTGTATGTTTATCAGAGGACCTTTCACATGCTAACAATTACAGTAAAATGATGATTTTTATATTATTATTATTTCGTGTTTGGGTCACAAAAAAATCGAAGATTTAGGCTGGTTGCCAGATCAAAAAGTTTGGGAACCGCTGCCTAATTATTTCACTTTGTAAGTTATATGTATAGGTAGCACATATTTAAGCCAGAAAACCTTAATCAGGTTATCTACACAAATCTGTCACAAATACATTTAACTGAACAAAATACAACTACTTAAAAAACTGTTTTTAAGTGATTTTATCAACTTTTATTTCAGAGTAAAAATTTAAATATATCTATGATTTGTGGAATACCTGAGTAATGACTGATCAACTACAATGCTTTGGAATAGTTTGGTTTAAATGATTAAGGTATAATATTCGTGATTTATTATTTGGTTTATAATTATGTTTGCATTATAATAGAAACTAAACGTTTAATGACTGATTACTTTTACAGTTGTGGACTGGCAGCTCTTGCCATGGTTGCAACACTAATACCAATTAAACAACCTATTTCAATAAACAATATTTTTCATGAAGCTGAACTAAGAGGCTTTACTTGTAAGGGGGAAATGTTTTCTGTATCAAATATGAAAATATTAGCCGAGACATTTTTGGCTCCTTGGTTTTGTGTTGAAGAATTTTCAGATGGGATGGAAGCTAAAAAATTGTCCATCATTGAAAAGCTGTATGCAGGAGCATTGATGATGGTTCCGTATCCTTTTAATTACAATGCAAGTTTAACTTAAAAAGTCTATTTTCAAAGGAATTCATGTGAACAAAAAAAAAAATCAAAAAGCGTCTGTTCAAGAGGTGCACGTGTGAGCATTTTATCTAATTGTCTTGTTTTCAGTTTCTTCAATGTCAGATTTACCTCTATACAATAAGGGGCAGTGTTTTGTAGAAAAACATGTTTTTCCAAATTGATATTTGGGCATGACGGGTGACCATGACTAATGACCCCTTGATTGCAAGAGATCACGTGGAAGTTCCACCTATTGGACAGGGGCCACCAAATGTTAATTTATCTGCATACTGTTAATATTAAGTACCTGAAATCCGGCACTAAGTTCAGACTTTGAGTTAAGCTAAAAACCAACTTAAAGTAAGCACAAGACCAAGAGTTCTCAAAGTAGTTACTATCACATTAGCAAGGGATGGTAAATGCTACCTCATTCTCATATGGTTACAATGATTAACTTTTCAATATTTGTACTATAGCGAATTTCCCTATAGGGAAGTAGCTATTGCCGTAGGTGGCACGTTAAGACCTAGGCCCGGTACCGATTTACATTTTCATTTTGATGTCTCTAGAGGCCAAAAACACCATTCGTTCAAATTTTTATATATGAATATATATATATGTCCGTGAACGCAATAACTTGAGTAATTTTTGCCCGATTTTGATGAAATTTGGTTTAAAGGTGTAAGGCAGGATAAACTTGAATGAGTTCGCGAACCAGCATGATCGGACCATGAGAACGGGGGATTTTATGGGGTAAACAATGGGTTTTCACCTTCAAAACATAAAATTTCCCAATTTCTCTCTAGACATTTTTCAAGAGCTTAAAAAAACAAAAAACCTAGTATATCAGAGTTTTTTTGTACGGTATTGGTAACGGAGAAAATTAAAGAAATTTTAAATTTAAAATTCTCATGTTATTTTTATGGAGAATATTCAAAAATTTTGTAGTTTGCTTGTTTATGGATATATTTTGATCCAACTTGTCAAATCTATTTATTTTATACTTTAAGCTATTAATATTTTACTAAAAAACACACTTTATTAGTTTCCTTGTAGCAGCAAACCTAGGTACTCGTGAAACCAAATGTTTTTTAAATAGATTTAATTTTAAATCAATTTAGACAAATGGAAATTCGCTTAGTCGGCAGGTTTGTTGCGGCGGGGGTATTTGGTTACATTTTTAATTATTTGTATTAATATATATAACAGGTTGAAAAACTTCACCCATTAGGCCTATATGGAGAAATTATTTTGTATAACATTACAAAATATGAATTCAATTGTTTCCAAAATGGCTGCCATTCTTAATATGGCGGCAAACTTAAAAAAGTCTAAAAGATCACCTAGTATTTTTATGATTGTTTTAGAATGTAAATGAAATTTAAAAACGTTTTTATTATTCACATTTTTTGATAAAATAAAAGGATTACCTTATCCAACCACAGTTGCTGGCATGACAACTAGTTTCGTTCCTTAGATATTCATCAGGTCATTGTATGCAACCACATCATCAATGTATAAATACTTTTAATGCATTAATCAGTTTTATTTAGTTAGTGACGTTGCTGGCCAGCCTTTACAGTTTTAATTAATAATTGTAACTTACGTCAATCAATCCAGTTGTGTATTGGAGGGACGTACGTTTCGACCTTTAGGCCATCTTCAGCCCCGCTGTTACACTAAGTTGTTCCATCCTTAGTTGCATTGTTGGTGTAGCAACCCGTCAAATATTTACAATGAAGCAGGGCACTTAGACAAGTCAGTGCCGCCGCAGTCCCAAGCCCGTTCAGCCGTGCGTACGGTAATAGTTTCATTAATATGTGTTCATATTCGTCAATGACATTTTGTGTTTTTTATGTTCTTCATTGTAAATATTTGACGCGGTTGCTACACCAACAATGCAACTAAGGATGGAACAACTTAGTGTAACAGCGGGGCTGAAGATGGCCTAAACGTCGAAACATACGTCCCTCCAATACACAACTGGATTGATTGACGTAAGTTACAATTATTAATTAAAACATCAATCCCAACAAATCAATCATGATTTTTACAGTTTTAACCAGTTTTTACTATTGTGATTTTGACAGTGTTTTAAAGAATCTTTTGACATACCACAATGTATTAATACATTGATGATGTGGTTGCATACAATGACCTGACAAAGTTCTAAGGAACGAAACTAGCTGTCATACCAGCAACTGTGGTTGGATAAGGTAATCATTTCATTTGATCAATAATTTATTCCAACCAAGGGCCACTATGAATAACAAACCACATTTTTTCTCTCAAGCTACTTCTTTACATGTGTTCTTTAGCTTGTTACACCTTGGAAAAGTGGCTTGCTGTGTACATTCTGCATTGTGTAGCTCCTAAACTAGTAAGTATCTATAGAAGTAATGCAAAGAATAAATAAGTATTAAAATTGCATCTAAATTCTAAAAAGCTAATTAAAATACTGAGTGTCAAATTGTTGAGTTAGCCACCATGTTGGAAAACGGTGGCCATTCGTAAAACATTGGAAATAATAGACTATGTTGTTAATGTATTCTAAGATGTAATTGCAATTTTAAGACATATTTATTATTTGCATTTCCTCTCCTAACTTGCCGGTTTAAAAGCTACAGAATGCAGAATGTACACAGCAAGCAACTTTTCCCAGGTGTAACACGCTGTAACTTCTTAACAAGTAACCTTAGAGGAAAAATGCCAAGAAACATCTTTTTTAATTTTTTGAATTTAAATTGATGATTTTTTTGGGCTCTGGGGACGTAAAAACAAAAAAGTAAATCAGTCCAGGTTCCAGGGTCTATTAGACCTATGGTAAAAGCTTATTCCTATATGGGTAGTTCGCAAAAATGCAATTAACAAGGATAGAAACTTTTGTGAAGTGTTCGTCAATGTGTTTTAACCTTACCTTTGAAGAGTTTGTATATGAGTGGGCTTAACATAGCCATAGAGTACATTTATGGAACAGAGCATGTGGTGTATTATGAACGTTTGCAGTGTGCTTCGAGTGTCTTTAGGGATTGCGGTGTTGCGAAATTGTGGGGCACGGCCTTGAAATAGAGAAGGCTATGCTATGATGCGTAAAAGAATTCTGATCAACAATTTTGATGAAGTTAAGGGAGTTTGATCCTGAAGGTATCTAACAATTTAATCACTTATATTAACTTTATTCCTATAAATTAATGATGTGTAACATAGAATTAGGTTGGAATTTTTCCTTAACTAGTTTAGTTATGATGCTGACAAAAACCATTCGCCGTGTTGTATGAACGGTCACAAGGCACACTGGGCTGTGGTGTGTGGTGTGATGGAAAGGTCGGATGGCCAAGTGCATGTGGCTGCTAGACACGGCAAGAGTCGCTACCTCGGAGTTTGGTCACTGGACAGTCTAGCCAAAAGTAACGCCAACCTAACTGAATTAGATCCAAGTAGGCGCAAAGATAATTGCCAGTATATCCTACCATCAGGTGGTGTGAGAGCTGGTCTTTCCAACAGATACATTTTGATAACAAAAAAATGATTTTACAACTCAGAACACTACGAAATATTTGCTTTAGAACTAAGGGTTTCTTAAAAAAAAATCTTTCTACTAAACTCCATTTTACAGTTTTGTCATTGACTTTTGTGCCAACTCGTCAGTCATAAAATTAAATCAAACCTACAGCTACAGTGGGATACGTTGAATTTGACCAAAATCATAACTGCTACAGCTTCTAGCTTAATTTAAAATTCATAAAATAAAACTATTTTGCAAATAAATGCCATACTGTTAAGAAATTGTCTTGGTAGTTGTTACATTAATAAACAATGATAAGAAAACTAGGATGCAAGTCCCACATACAGGCTTTTTGCCACATGGAGCCTGGTTTCCAGTGTAGCAATCTTTAATTGACACTAATACTCTTATTGTAAAGTATTTTTTATAGTTTGGTATATCACTCTGTTATTGCTTAGTAATGTCATTGAAAAGACTGTTATGTATGTAATGGTTTGTATATGTTATTCTACTAATCAATAAATAGTTTTAAATATTTTGTTTTTTCTTTCTTCAATTCATATTTGATTGTTACATAGCAGTAAGTAAGATACAGTACAACCCCGCTAATCCGTCGGAGCCATGGGCAGAACAGTGAAGAGGTCGGATTATCTAAGGAGCAGCTTGAAGTTCAGGAGCAAATTTTAGTTCAGGATTTTACTGCCATCTCTGAAGACAATAGCGATGTTTACGTGACCGCAACAGACACTCAATATTTTGACGCAATCACGGAAGACGATGGCAATGTTGCCATGATCGCGGAAACCGCTTAATATATGCTACAATCCAGGGAGATGATGTTTACGTTAAGCACATACGATATGTAAGGAGTTTGCCGCTATCGCTGATAACAACGATTAAGTTTCTATGATCGCGGGAGACGATGCTGATATTCTCATTACCGAAGAAGATATAACATTTTTGTTAACGATCGTAGAAAACGATGATGTTTCCGTGGCGGCGGGGGATAAAAGGATTTGTTATGCTACTGCGGGGAATGTGATGATGTCCACAGAACTAAGGGAAATTGTTACAATATTACCGGGGTAACATAGTTAGTGCGATAACCGAGAGGCAATGGCCTAAGGTTAAGCGAGGAGTAGGACTTAGCGAAGGTGGGATTAGCGGGGTTTTACGGTACTGTATCATCCTGACTGGCTATGAAAAGTCTAGCAGCTGACACTAACTTTTTAAGTTTGTTTCAGAGCAATATCTATATATTAATTTGAAACTGTTTTTCTTTGTCACAGCTATTTTGAGAGAACGGCTGGGCGTAAAAACTCGGTAGAGGTGTCTAAAGAAAGGTCTTGGTCTGTAGATGAGCCATCAAAAGAGAAACATGGTGAATTCTCTTAGGGCTCTGCCCCGGTGGCCTTTAAATTCCCATCCCATGTTATTCTTATGGAGGAAAACGGGGGTTTTGTCACAGCTAATTTGAGAGAACGGCTGGGCGTAGAAACTTGGTAGGGGTCTCTAAAGAAAGGTCTTGGTCTGTAGATGAGCCATCAAAAGAGGAAAGAGGTAAATTCCCTTGGGGCTCTGCCCCAGAAACCTTTAAAGTAGCCTCTTCAGATTTGTTTACATTACGACCATATGCTATTCTACACTACTTTCTACACTACTTTTTAATGCAACTGCTGTTAATATTTAAATTGTGATTTATTGAATTTGTCAAAATGAAGTACAGTATTTGCAATGGATTTTTCTGATTTTAAAATTGATTTTCTTCTGCATCGTGTCATGTTTTGCAATATAATGTTCTATTACCAAATCAGTGGAAAATCCTAATATCACAGTAACTTTTAAAATTATTTCTTATGGAGTTAACTTATATCTATTGTATGGGTTGTTGGTTTCTGCCTTTTTTACCACTTCTTGGAGATTGTACGTAGGTGATATTCTTTGGCATATTGCATCTGTAGACGAAACTTGGGTTGGTGTAATTATTACAATAGAAAAGATCGAGAAATACTGGACAATTTGAGATAGGCTAAAAATAAAACTGTATTAACACTGTGCTACATTTCTTGAGCAATCATTGAAATAACCGATTTGCAAACAAAGGAAACGTAGAAAAAGTCATAGAACACAACAAAGTAGAAGAAATAGAAAAACAGTTTTTTTATTACACTAAAAAAATAAGATCAGCTTTTTGAAAAAAGATAAGATATTTACAAAAGATTTTGATTATATTATGCAGATTATGTAGACTGTTATGTAGATTGTGAGTATTTCTATAATCTTTGAGTCGCCTGTAATGCTTCGCAATTGCTCGAATTCGAGCAACAGGTACACTAGTAATTAATTTAACAGACAGCTGGTTTTCTTTATACTAACTTTCACTGTCATTTTTACGTTACAAGCTGTTAACAAAATGTTGGTCGTTTGTAAATTCTGTATGATCGTACTAAGTTTTTTAATGTAGTTTTTCCTGCATTTGCGTTCTCAGGAAATGTGTAATTTTGAACCATACGGGGAGTCTCGCAGTCTAAAGTGTACCAATAGCTAACTTTTTATTATGAGAAGGACAGTTAACTTCTTATGGGTCCCTTTATTTTTAAGGATTTTTTTATGGTTTTGAAGTTTTTAAACATGACAGTCATTTTCCAATATGGTCGACAACTTAAACATTTTGTATGGAACACCCCATATTTTATGATCGTTTAAGAATGTAAATGCAATTTAAAAACGTTTTTGTTCTTGAAATTTTTTCTCTAATACAAATTACATCTAAGAAAAAAAGGCATACGGTGTACAAATGCATCCTGTAGCTCCTAAGCAAGCAAGTTTTAAAGAGAAAATGCAAAGAAAAAGTCATAAAATTGAATCTAGATTCTAAAAATACTTATAAAATACATAGTGTTTTAATTTTAAAGTTAGCTGCCATTTTTGAAACAATGAAATCCAATCTTAAGTGTATTTTACTTATTCATTCTTTGCATTATTATCTTACTACTTTTGTTTAACATTTACTCTACACTAACATGTTACAAATGAAACAAATTCCGAACCCGCTGTTCTAAATCATAAATAGTTTCACCAAATACTTATTTCCCGTGCGATGTACCATTGACTATTGGATACAGAAGAAGACATCCCATCTATATGGATCAGCTGTCGCCAATCTTTTACTAAAAAGGAATGTAGTTGTGTGAGCCAGTCACAGATTGCGCTAGTGTCTAAAATTCTATTTTTTACCTTATTTTTTTGTTACTGACATAGTTGCTGGGTTGCAACAGTTGCTATAGCTCATAATAAGTCATTCCATCAGTTTGACTTGGTAAAAACCATTGTGTAATAGGCAGAAATCAGTAATTTTGATCAGCGCAATCTGTAGGTGGCTCACATCAACTAAGACAAATTGTTGTATTAATAGTCAAAGGTAGTACATAGTTCCCACAAAGTTTTTATTTTTGCTGTGCCGCAATGAGCAAAAAGACACTTTATTAAAAGAGAACATGTTGATGCGTAAAACAAATTTTATTGATTATTAAAAGACAATTTATAATAAACTACACATTTTGGATTAGGCCTATAAACATTTTTTGGTATGTGAACTAAACAATAATTTTTTTTAACAACATTGATGTAATTATGTCATTTTTTAAATCAGTTGATAAACAATTAATTGTTACAACAATACACATGACAGCTCAAAGAGACAAAATCAATAAACAATGTCATTTCCAGTCTGAAAAAAAACTATGTTTAGAAAATGTTTGTTAAAAAACTGAAAAGTTTATAATATTTTATGTGTAAGAATTATTTTAATCTAGTTAGGCTACAGTTCATTTACTTTAGATAATACAGTAGATAAGTCAAGAAGTAAACTTAGTCTACATTTTAACCGTGGAATACTTAGGATAGCAGTAAGCTTACCTTAGAAGTGCAGGTTCTGGTTGGAGGTAAGAACAGACAGAAAACACTCAAAAACACTATATTTTGTCCCTGACAAATGGGTCAAGTGTAGACACTCTCTCCCTCTACACTTGGACAAAATACCAAGTCTGTTCAAGAAGTATTCGACCTTGTTCAGGAAAAGCATGATTTATTGATATATTTGTTTTAAAAAGGAACCTTGAAAATAGTCCTATCGGGACTTCATACACTTTTTCCAGCATTCCTGCCACTTTTGGAAACTAGCCTGGACCTATTCCTCCTTAATGGACTTCAGACGAGCTGTCACATTTTACATGACCTAATTTCTGCTCTGAAATAGGGTCTCTTTAAGCGACATCTTCATGGTAGGGAACAGCCAGAAGTCACTTGGTGCCGTAAGTGGTGAGCAGGGGGCCTGGCGTAGCACAAGAATGATGTTTTCCCAAGAAGCCTTGAACAAGATCGGAAGAATACGCTGGTGCATTGTCCTAATGAAGCCACCAAGAGTTCGTGGCCCACAAATTGGGAAGCTTGCGATGCACTACATTGCGCATGCGGCGTAGAACATTTAAGTAGTACTCTTTATTAATGTTTTGTCCCTCAGGTGTGTACTCATGATAAAATACTCCATTACAGAAGAAAAAAACAGCATGACTACGATTTTGCTTCAAATTTGGCGGGCTTTTTTGCCACGGCGACGTTGAGTGTTTCCATTGAGAAGACTGCGCCTTGGTTTTGGGATCATCCCCATACACTCACGTCTTATTATAAGTTAACCTTCTTGTTTGCGGTGCTGAAGATAACTGTTTTGAGAAAGTTTGGGCCATTCTGAATGCTTTTCAAACAGAACCGTGCTTTGTATGTTAGCATGTCTCGATCAACTTCAAGCAGCAATTCCTTTTTTTTCATCAGTCATGTTCTTTGGGACAAATTTTGCAGCAAACACGACTAACACTTCGTACACAGTTCCATGTCTGGCGGCCGACAACGAACTGACACCATGTTAAGGTCAAGTGACCAGTCACGTGACATGCTTTACAGTTGCCTTGATCTACGCGCCAAAGTGCAGCTCAATGCGGTTGTTGGATTACAAGATAAAAAATAAGGTCGGATACTCTTTAAACAGACCTTGAAATGTGTGTTTTTCGTGCCTCCTGTATGATCTAAGACCTATCTGTACTTCTAAAGTAATTTAGTTGCTATCCTCTTTATTCCACAATTAAAATCCTGGCCTAGAGCCTTTCCTTGAACAAAGTTAGAACAAAGTTAGTCTTCATTTTCTTTTGTTCAGTTTTAATTTGGACTTAGCAAAATAGAGGGCAAAGTAAAATGTTGATAAATCACCTGTTCTCCCCCTTAAAGTAAAAAAATAAACACACTTACACAAGATCTTTAATAAATGACATTGATTTACAAAAGCTTACACTTGCCATCACCTAGAGGAGGCTGCCTCTACTGCATGAGCCGCAGCCAACAGAGCGTCTATGTTGGACGGTGGAACCAGTAAGTCTTTGTTGCGTTCCAGGGCTTTGTCCAGGTCTGACTGAATATGAACTGTTCTCACATCAAAACTATGCAGACTCAACGAATCAAGCCACGTAAGCATACTGCTGTGGTTAAGGAAATAAATACCACTTATTGTAAATTGGATAATTTCAATCAAATTAAAACTTGCAATAAATAGTAGGGATGGTCAAGTCTCGAAATTTCGGGAAATTTTCGGGAAATTTTAAATCTCGTTACACGAGACGAGATTTCTTTTTGGCCGAGATTTTTATCGAGACGAGAATAAAAAAATACCCCCGCCGCAGCAAACCTGCCGACTAAGCGAATTTCCATTTGTCTGAATTGATTTTCAGTTAAATATATTTTAATAACATTAGGTTTAACGAGTACCTAGGTTTGCTGCTACAAGGAAACTAATAAAGTGTGTTTTTGAGTAAAATATTGATAGCTTAGTACAAAATAAATAAATTTGCCAAGTTTGATCAAAATATATTCATAAACAAGCAAACTACAACATTTGACAATATTCTCCATAAGAATAACATGGGAATTTTAAATTTACAATTTTTTTAATTTTCTCCGTTACTAATAATCGAACAAAAATACTTTTATATACTAAATTATTTGTTTTTTTAAGCTCTTTAAAAAGGTCTAAAGAGAAATTGGGAAATTTTGTGTTTTGAGGGTCAAAAGTGAGAAAAACCAATTTTTACCCCATAAAACCCCCCGTAAAGCCCCGTTCCCATGGTCCGATCGTGCTGGTTCGCGAACTCATTCAAGTTTATCCCGCTTTACACCTTTAAACCAAATTTCATCAAAATCGGACAAAAATTACTCTAGTTATCGCGTTCACGGACGTATATATATATAAGTCTATATATATATATATATATATATATACATATATAAAAATTTGAACGAATAGTGTTTTTGTCCTCTGGGGACATCAAAATGAAAAAGTAAATCGGTCCCGGGTCAAGGTCTTACCGTGCCACCTACGGTAATAGCTACTTCCCTATAGGGAAATTCGCTAAAAAAAAAAAATTAAAAACTCCTGCAGAAAGTTAATGCAATGCAATACAGGAGCGTGTTGTAGTTGCGTTTCCTTTGCGAAGGCGTTCTTATTTAATTAATTCTTTAAATGTAAATATTACTTTAATTATTTTAATAATATTACTTTAATAACATTTGAGAAGTTTTGTTAAGTGTAAGCAGTGTGAGGAATGTTTTATTACTGTACTATAAAAAGTCAAAACAAGTAACTATTTTATAAAAATTAATATTGCTTTTATTTTATGATTTATTTTATTTTAGGATAAGTTGAACTCTATCCTAACTGATATCACTATGTTTCCTAATCGTAGGCATTTTTAATAAGTTAGGCGTGATTAATAAAAAAATGTTATGCTGATGTTTTTTAATAAAAGATTGTAAATATTCTTGCCTATTATCATTATTTTTGTATTTAAACAGTCATCTAACAATGTTACAAAATCAGGTAAAAATTGTGAACGTGCATTTCCCGTTGTGTATGAGAAGGGAAATCCCGTCTCGATCTCGTCTCAAAATTTTATGAGAAATAAAAAATCTCGTCTCGAACTAAAAATCCAATCTCGTCCATAAATAGTAACAGATAAAAGAGTTGTTTGGTTATATGCATAATCTTAAAGTCAATTAAAAAATCCAGATCACATTTAACACTATGAGCGACATACGGAAGTACAGTACAACAAGATGTGTTTTTAAAAAGTTATTGAGATGTACCACCACAACAGCAAAAATAATTTTGTACAAAAAAACTCAAGAGATTTCTTGTACTAATCTTAAATAATGGAGAGACTTGTGACACGTGGAGCAATTGCTCGATGGGGCACTAGGCAGGACACCCTCCTCCACTTTCCAAAAGTTAATTTGGAAATAGGAAGGAGGCGGTTCTCCTATTTTGGCCCAACAATTTACTTTATTTTTACTTTCTCCCCCTATACATAGTATATGGAGAAAGTATTGTTTTCGTCAAAATTTTCGAGTTTGAGTTTTGAGTGGATATATTCGTTTTGGGTCCCCCTGGACCTAAAAAAGTGGTTTTCGAAGTGATGTCTGTGTGTGTGTGTGTGTGTGTGTGTGTCTGTGTGTCTGGATGTGTACAGAGCTAGAGACCACACCTGTGGTCCGATTTCGATGAAATTTGGTATGTAGGTTCTAATCCATGGTATCTCCAGGCGTTTTTTTCATTTTTTTGAAATTTTGATTTTTAATGGGAATTTCCCCATAAAAACCCATAAAAAACCGGAAAAAACAGATTTTCTCGAAAACGGCCCGAACGATTTTGATAAAAATTTAGTATGTTGTAGCCCTTTAAATTCTAAATAAAATAGTACAAACCCCATATCTGTAAAAATTACGGTTCAAAAGTTATGGTCAAATATTTTATTTTCCCATAAAACCCCCATAAAATAACAAAAAATAGGATTTTAGAAAAACATCCGGTTTTGATTTAACATAGTATGTTATACTCCTTACAGTTTTGATAGTTTTTTTATTTTTTTGGATATTTTTATTTTTAATGGGGATTTTCCCATAAAAACCCCATAAAATAACGAAAAAATATGATTTTCCCAAAAATGGCCCGAACGATTTTGATAAAAATTTAGTATGTTATAGTCCTTTATATTCTGAACAAAATGGTACAAATCACATTTATGTTAAAATTACGGTTCAAAAGTTATTGTAAATTATGTCATTTTACCATAAAACCCCCTTAAAATAACAGAAAAATCGGATTTCCTCAAAAATGGCCCGAACGATTTTGAAAAAAAATTTAGCATGTTATAATCCTTTAAATTCTGAACAAATTTTACAAATCTCATTTGCGTATACAGTTATTTACTCTCACCACTAACACATGATAAAGGTTTTTGACAATTTCATGATGTTTCATAAGTTTTTGACAAACTTATGGGAGAAAGTATGTGTCAGAATGCTGATACCGTTTATTTTAGTGTGTGTTGATTCCCATGCTACTCTCAAGGACTGAGAGCTTGCATAGTATGTAGTATTTTACACTTATACTAATATTGTAATTTTGTACACTAAAGCATAGCCTAATAAATCAACCATAAAAATGTGTAAAAGGATACGATTTTTCATTTTTTTCAGTTGTCACAATAGTTGGCATGATGAATTTGTCTTTGAACTCATCAATTTTAGGATTCCATTTGCTCCAGTCAATGGGTTCATGAACTCCATCACTTCCATATCTCTGGTTGTATCTGTCATAGTGTACCTAAAAGCTCAACTGAGATTATCAAACAGCCTAAATTATAACAGTATGTTAATGTTACATCACATCTCATCAACAACAACTATTGTCCATACACACAACGGCTCTGCTGTAAGTATTAATAATAAATAGGAGAACCTGTACATTTTTGCATAACAATTAATACCCTGCCGCAGCAAACCTAAGCATGTAATTATTTTAGTCCTAAGGAACTAAGGGAATTTCCATTTACCTAGTTGGATTTTTACTAAAATATTCCCTTAAAGATTGTCAGATTTACTTTCTATTGAAATATCATTAATGTTAATGAGTGCTTAGGTTTGGTGCTACAGGACAGGTAATAAGGGGAGTTATTGAAATGTTGATGTATAGTATGAAGCAAAAAAAATATCCCTAAACAAACTACAATTTCATTAATCCTCCATACATCTTGGAATTTTCTTCACAACCAGGCATACAACGCTTAAATATACAAAATAGGTTTGGAAAGTAAGTTCCATTTTGAAATAAAAGAATAATGAGTACAGATACAGGAAAGAAATTTATTTTTAAAAAATCTATAACTCTTACACTATTTTTGACATGGCTACTGTGATTTTTGAGGCATTGTCAGAGCGTGGTACAAGTTTGAGTATACTCTCCTCGTAGAATGTTGCTGCCCAATTCCAGGGTGAATTAGTAGTATCTCTTAGTAGTTAACCATGAGATGACACGTTTTTTTCAGCTCTTCAGTTAAACCGCTGACCGCCAAGAAATTACTTCAGATTGCGAAACAAATTAAATTTGCTCGGAGCGAGGTCAGGGCTGTACGGAGGATGGTCAAAAATGTCCCAGCCAAAGCCCTGAAGAAGGTGTCTTCGTCACATTTGCTGTGTGTGGTCAAGCATTGTCGTGAATGAAAACCACTCTTTTAGTTTGGCCTCTCATCAAAAAATCAATAAGCAAAATGCCTTTTCTGTCCTTATTTTAGTCTTCTCATTGACTACATTAACCAGTTCATCATTTTCCACAGATGGACGTCCACTTAGTTTTTCATCATGCACTGTATCTCGTTCTTTTTTTAACTGCCGAACCCATTTCTCACCATAGAATCCCTTATTACATTGTCTCCATAAATCTCACAGATTTGTCAGTGACTGTTAATTATTGCTTTAAGTTTTTAAGCATTAAGAAAACAAATCACAGATCAAATTTTACAATCAGTAGGATTCTAAATTACCACAGCTGTTACGAACAAGTGCTACGAGGTGTACGACAACAATAGCAAGTTCAAAATGGCGTAATTTCCTTCCGGTTGACAAAGAGTAACTATTGGACGTGTGCTAAACTGCGATTGCAGCGCTACCGCGGAGAGTAGGGGAAACGGAACTTACTTTCCGAACGTACCTTACTTAATTAGTTTTAAAAGCTCTACAAAATAGTTTGGGAAGAAATAACAATACTTAATGTTTTGGGAGACAAAAAAATTTGTAAAATCAACTATTACCCTATAAAACGCTGTTCCCATAGTCGAATCATGCTGCTTTGCAAACTCTTTTGAAAAAATGCACGTTTAAATGTTTGTACCAAATTTCGTCAAAATTAGATGATTTTTTACTTGAGTTATGGTGTTAACTCAACTCCCCATGGGGAAATGACTATAACCGTAGGTGGTACAGTAATACCTAGGCCCGGGACCGCTTTACTTTTTAATTATTATGTCCCCAGAGGCTAAAAACACTATTTGTTCAAATTGTTATAATAGTGTCAATAAATGTGATAACTAGGGTAATTTTGGTCCGATTTTCATGAAATTTGGGTTGAAGGTGGGGATAAACTTTTTCTTTTCTTTTTTAAAGAGGTTGGCAGCCTTTTTTAACCTTGCATTTGCCCGTCCACAAGGACTAACCGCCCGTGTGTGAATTGTATACAGCACATAACTGAGTAATTGAATGAGTTTGCAAACCAGCAAGATCGGACGTTGGGAACAGGGTAAAATATTTTGGACTAAAGTGCTACATAGGTAAACTACTCAACTATTTACAACATTATAAAAATTATCTGAGTATCTAAAAAGTATCTGAGAAATTTATTCTTAATGAAACTCTTGCCCACGTTTTTGGAAAATGCCCATATAGTAGTCTTCTACGGAATACCCGCCACCATACGATCAGAAAAATCATAGCTGATCAATTCAGAAAGAAAAGTTACGAGGTCTATGAAGAGGTCACAGCTATAGAAGAAGAGGGCTCTGTGAGGCGGAGTGACATCATTGTTATAGACAAGGGGAAAGATTTTGGTCTCAATATAGACCCAACAGTTCGTCTTGAGACAAATGAAAATCAGCCACAGGTAGTCCATGAAGATAAATTAAATATTTACAGTAGAACGTCGATTATCCGAAGCCCGGTCATCCGAAACGTCGGTTAACCAAAAGGAAGAAAGAAGCAAAAATCAATAAAATTGCGCGCCAATCACGACTCGCCGTAGCGCTACGCCACCGCACGGCTGCTAAGTGGTTAAAGTCTAGTCTAAATATAGCTCAAAGGTCTGACCCTCCCCCTTCCCCCCAAACCCCTACTTCATTCACTGTTGTTACGCCCGCTCACTTCAAGGTCATTGCACAACCCCTCCCTCCCTTCTATTGTTTTTCATTGCCGGTCAGTCGACGGCGACTGCTTTGAGTTGACCTATTCTGTCGTAACAGCTAAAGAAATAGGTTAGGACAACTACCTCTTGCTTATTTCTACACTGTAAAAATATTTGTATTACTGTAGAATCTACAGTAGTAAAAATTATCCAGTATTTCATGTAAACACAAGTTACATTTTAACAAATATTGATTTTTTACCAATTTAAAGCAAACTCGACTCGAAACTGCCGGGTTAAAAAATAAGCTCGAGTTTCAAGGCCGTACTCGACTCGAACTCGAAATCTCAAGTACTCGCACATCTCCATAATTAATAAAATTTATATTATTGTACAGTATCCACAGACGCGAAATCGGCAAATCGCCGCCGGCCGCTATCCTTTCCCGCCATTTCCCGTTCCCCGTATTTTTCCCGTCAATGACCAATTATCCGAAAAATCAGTTATCCGAACAACCCTAATCCCCAATTAATTCGGATAATCGACGTTCTACTGTATAAGAAAACTATCCCCTATTATTCAGAAAAATATAAAATATCTAAATTTGAAGTATATGGACTACTTATCGGAGCAAGAGGAACGATTCCTCAAACAAGTTGAGAAATTTTGGAAGAAATTCAATTTGGAAAATCAAGTGCTATATTTAATATCCTTAACAGCCATAAAATTTTCTATTAATATTATAAGAACCTACCTATATAACAATTATCATAATTAGGTTTAAACAAACTTGCAAAATTTAATGTCATATTCTTTGTTCTACAGCAGACTACAATGTGTAGTAAGATTTCAGTTTTTAAAATAAATTTGAATTTATAATATAAAAAATATTTTTTTTTAGCTTTTTTTCTAAAATAATTTTGCTGCCTGTATACATAGACCTACTATAGGACATCTGGAAAGGTTAAGTTATACTGTTGTTGTTTGCTTGTTTGTGGGTAAATGGATACATTTGATCAAATTTGGCAAATTTATTTATTTCACCTACTATACTATTAAAATGTGGTCAACAAATTTTGTACCTTCCCTATAGCAGTAAACCTAGGTACTCGACTCGTATTGGTAATTAATTAAAAATTTATACCTTCCAGCACCAAACAAAAATGTATTTTGGTTGAAAAATGTGGAATTCTCAATAGATCACATGCTAACTTTGTCATACATTTTCAATATTGTTTTTAACTTTAAACATTTGTGTTTGAGATATGATGGCAAGTTTTGGGAATCAAAAGTAAATTATCTTGATTACCTTATTATCATGATTTTTTTTAAACATTTATCAGGTAAGTGAAAAACTTTTGCATTTAGGTGTTGAGATTTGTGATACAATTTTTTAAGTCTTGGTTTCCGTTTTGAGATTTGAAATTTCTGGTTTCGACCATCGCTATTAAAGAGATTTAGTATTTGATAAAGTTTGACCTGAGCTTAACCGTACCTCCTCCAATAGCAGACCCAGGCCAGGCGCGATGGGTATATCTAGTTTCTCTCTCTCCCATGACCTGACCAGAGTCTCTGATGCGGTCATTCCTCTCACAATGGCAATCAGCAGACCCACCATTTTGCGGATCTGATGTAACATGAAACTCTGACCTGCCAAGCAAAAAATCCGTCATGGACTATGTGCTTAAGTCTAACATTGTATTTTCTTCCCTAGTTTATGTTTGCTGTCAAATTAACGATGCTGTAGGTTTCAATAAGTTGTCTTTTTAGTTTGGCTTTGTTGAAAAGTCGGCATATTTAATAAATCTGTAACTGATATAAGCACAATCAGTTGTTGCCTTATTTCAATTACATTTAATTTGATTCTAAAACTGGTTACAACTTTAACAGTAATTTGTGTTTTCAGAGACGTTTTAAAATTATGTATTTTATGATAAATGCTAACAGAGATAGTTTTTAAGATTTCAACCTGTGAACCTTAGTTATTAAAACATGTGGAGTTCAGTACATGTTGCGACTTACCATAAACCAAAATGAAATGAAATAAATCTTCATTCAAAACAAAACATACAAAGCGTACATGAATGTGTCATTTCATTGTTATTTTAATTTTTATAAGTCTTACAATAAATCTAACATATACAATAATATTTACTGCAATTTCTTATACACAATATTGTACTTTCTATTATTTACACAAAATTAAAAATAAACCATATCTTAAGTTATGTTTTTATAAATTCTTCTAAAGTAAAAAATCATGGTCAATCAGAAATCTTTTGAGTTGTTTTTTTTATTTGTAAAAATTGTCCTCATTTCTTATATACTGCAAGGGAGGGAATAAATGAGTTTAGTTCCAATATAATCTGGGCTCTTCTTAGTTTTTTCTTTTTAGCAAATTTCCCATATAGGGAATAAGCTAACCGTAGTACTCATGGTAAGACCACATTATCTTAATCTGTTGCGATTTACACAGAGATGTAGAGATCAAGAGGAAACATGCTTTTGGAACAACCGTACGCTTTTAGCTCTGGGGCGAAAATACATTAGTACCAAGCCAGGAAGAGACCGAACAGCTATGTTTATAACAGCAGTTGTAGCGCTCTTCCCACAGCATGAGCGCTGAGGTTCTTGAAGGTGAGGAGAGCGGAAGGGGACGACCAATAGAATTTGCTCTAGACAAAAGCGACTGGTGCTACAAGCTTGCAAGTTTTTTGGTAAACTCGACTCGCAAATTTACTACTTGCACACCCCTACTCTAAAACCATACACACCTTTTACTTTCAGAGTTACAAATTCCAAGTCTTCTTTTACAAAAGGATCGCCACAAGAGAAATTCATGATATACCTATTTGAACTCGGATCTGTTGGTAGCCTGTAAATGATAAATATATTTGTTACATTACCAACAACTATTGAATATTTTATTAAATCAATTCTTTAAACTTAAAATCTTTACAAAACTGATCAGACAAAGATGAATGTAAGTTATAAGTTATTAAATTATAATACTGTATTTGTATTTAGGTAATAATAATACTCAGTGGTTAAAAATGTAGCACAACTGTATAAGGATGTATCATAACTTTCCCTTGCTACAAAGCATACTTTTACAAATTCTGACTTCAAAGCTAAATCAGAAAAGTTGTGTTCTGTAGATGTCTAATTGTAATCTTCTAAGTTCTTAAACATAATTCCAAGCCCAACTTGCAAGTTAGCTAACAAATTTCACCTGTTCTGGCTTGCTTGGTGTTGTCGTATTTGCAAATGGGCACCTCTACAAATGACACATCTGCAGATGATTTTACTGTGAAACAATTTTTCAAAAATTCTAATGATATAGGCTATCATTAAAAACATACCTTTTAGAGGTGAAATTGTGGTAATTGTGAGTTCCCACATACATTTTGAGAACCTTTTCAATATGTTCTCTGGTCTCATTTGGGAGTCTAAAGTCCTGGTGGATCTCCTCACCTTGTTGGGAGAAAGCAAAAGTAGGAGTTGTATAGGAATATGTGCGGCCATCACAATTCCCCTTGCAATTGAATCCCTTAGTAACCCGTTGAATGGCAATAGCTCGTATTTGTTCAGGCAGATGCTTGTTGATTTCTTCTACAGAGGAGGTTTCGGCTAGAAATATTGCAAAAAATGTCATGGTATTTATTTTGAGTAATCGACTCAAGCCCATTTTAACTGAAACCTGTTATACTGGATCCCGAGTTAACCGAAACCATGATACAACATTCAAATCAATTGGGAAATTAGGTAGAAAACAGGAATTGTCTATTGTGGGCCTGTGGCACAAGTACTTGGCTCAGCTAACAGAATGTATTAGTGGGCATTTTGAGAATACAACAGTTGTAGATTTTAAAGTGGAAGTAGTTAAAGTGATTTTTTGAACCAAAAACCTTTAAATTCCAGTAATGACTAACAAAAACAATAGGTATCTGGATTGACCTTGTTCCCTTGTATTACAAACATCAACTTAACACGTTCGCTGCAGGCTACTACAATTGTTGTCCCCAGGTACTGGCGTGCTATGTGATCTACTATAAATGTACAGCAGAGCACTCCTGTCCCCAACATTGCCTTAATGTGTGCTCAGCATTTGACGGGGAACGTTTTCCCCGCAGCGTGTAGTGCCAGGTAATAGATCATTTCGGTTCAATTAATATTTAGGTCATCCATTTCTATCTCTTACTGTGTCTGTGCTTTGTAAGTAGTGTACTGTAGGATTTTCAGCTTGGATTTAGTGAAATGGAAGTGAATATCGACTAGGCCTAGTGAAATTGTTGAAAACCTTGTTTGGAAGGTTCTGATGAGAAGTAAGCATTTTTGTATTTAAGAGGGAATACTACTTTTTTCAGCAGCAAGTGTGTTAAAAATGTCAAATAACAATCGGTACATTATACATAGGCTACATGATAAATAATATGTGCCGCATAAGAACAACAATGATAAAATGTGAATACATAAAAAAATTAATAGCTATATATTCCTCCCAAAGTAAAAAAAATATAAGGCGACAATAAATATTAGGCTGAATAAATAACTTACGAAGTTTCAAAGAAAGAACTTGTCTGATTGCAGAGACTCCTTTATCTGTTCTGGCAGCTCTTTGGAAAGAAATCAGTTGAGGTTCGTTAAACACCTCTTCGTTAATGTAGCCGGCTTTAAGCAAAGCAGAAAGCAGATCCTCTTCAATAGTTTTTGTTCCAGGATTCCTTAACAAAAAATTTATCATCTTTATTTTAAAATGAAATGAACTCAGTTTTCATTCATCATAGTTGAATAGGGTCTAGGCTGTGGTATATGATTCTATCTGTTGATGACAAAATACCCAAAATATTGCAGAGTAAGTAAGTTTGATCGGTTACCTGTGTAAAATAGTATGTCTACAAGTTTCTTACCTTTGTAATCCTAAGTAGCCCTGTCCCAAATAAGAAATCAATAATGCAACTTTACGCCTTTTAATCTTGACAACATTTGACAGCAGCGGTTTCTTTTCACATGTTTCATTGTTGCTTTCACTTCCTATTTCTGACGCTTCACGTTTCAAATTGTTAGGTCTACTTTGTAAATTAGAGTCAGTAGTTGTAACTGACATGTCTTGTTTTGAAATCCTCCGAGGAAACTGACAAAATATATTCCTTTTGCCTAAAAACATAAGAACATAGCTTAGAGGGGGGTGACAACAATAAAAGTAGGCTTAAGCCACAACTCGGTTTATTTTTTCACGTTAATTATATTCAACCTATGAAGTAATTGATTTTAATTGGAGTATATGGCAATTATCTCACTACTCTCTCTCTATACAGGGTGTCTTGCAACATTATGAATAAACTTTTGTCACGTTATTCAGCTTGTCAAAAGAAACAAAAAATATAATATAACATGAGTCCTATCTCATTCCCTTTTCAGTCAATCTGTCTGAATGTGATTTGTACAAAATCATTCATAACTCCTTAACTGTTTGAGCTGCAGTGTTGAAATCCTGTAAAAATGTTTATCTTATTGACCACGATGTTTGTGCAAAATATGAATAAACACTCTTAAACCATTTAAAAATGGCAGCTTTCAAAAATATTTAATAAAAATTCCATGAAAACTGTTTTATCTATGTTTTTATATTTTACAAAATATTTGCAAGACATTTGTAAAATTTTGTAAATGTTACAATCAAGGGCATGAGGTTGTTTAGTATGATGAAGAAATATGATAATTTGCAGGTTGTAAACACATAACAAAAACAGCTCAACTCATAGTAGTGTAGTGAAAAATATGTTTAAACTTATGCAGCACATTAAAATTTATTCAAAATCATTATCTAAAAGAAATTAATAGACTTTTTTTTAATACCACGTTTTTAAACGCTCTAAAAATTGAAAAAAAATGTATAAATATGTGGAGGGAGAGAATTGCTTGTAACATTTAAAACAAAAAACGTGGGGCGCATCCATGCAATAGCTAATTTAAGATTTTCTTCGCATATTGAATTATTTGCTAGTAGCAAGATGAGAGAGGTGGGGACCTTTTTGGAGCTTAGTTCATTGGAAAATATCGTCGTCGTTCTCATGATGAAATGCTGCAGTTACTTACTGTCATTAGAAGACAACGTCAAAGAAGAATATAGCCTATATTTAAAGTTAATATTTGATACATCCTTAATCGGTGCAAAAATGTTAAACAGTAGCCAATAACGTAATCAGCAAACAGCTCTTGGGACACACAGAGAAGTTCCAGAAGTAATAGGCCTACCAACCCCACTATGAATCCAGACACAATAAAGTATGTGATTATCTGAGAGACTAATGTGACATAAGAGTAAGAATAGTATATTGCATGATTCTGTCTGAACTGACTTTGAAATGTGTTCTGCGCGTGTGCCAAACCAAGATGCATGCTGCATGCAGCGCCAACATACCGAACGATCGGTTCTTAGTGGTGCTGCAAGCTGCAAAATGCCGGTAGCTCTGTGCCAGTCGCATGTGTGTAAGCTTGACGTGATTAACACAGGTTGATTTTCAAGCTGCATGCTAGTGTAGCAAGAAAAATGCTAGACACACAGTGCGAGATGCATGTGTGTGTAACCCGTTTTACTTATAACTTATTAAGCAAGTTCAAATAGGACATTGTGTTACTGTAAATGCATATGTATGTATGTATGACTAAGGTAGTATGTTTTATCTATGGTCCAACCGAAACATTTAGGCCTACCAGTACAACCTTTTATTTATTTACCGTCTTGTGAGTTAACAGTATAGGCCCTAAGTGTAGATATATTATTATAAGTGTTATTATTTACTTTCAAATAAAATGACGGACCCATAACAGACCACATTCCGCATAGGCTAGCCATTCTATGCCTAGTCTAGGGTATCTTACATTTATAATTTTGAGGTTATGCTTACTTACAACTATTTGTGATGTTCAAAAAAGACAGCATTTAATTTAGAGTTGTACAGGATTGTTGTACGCACAATTTTACAGCAAATAATTAATATATATTATAATAACTGCTTTAATATAAAAGTTGACATAACATTTATTTATGTTAACTTAATAGAAAAAATAAAATATTTCTTCGCTTCGCCTATGGAGTCGGTCGTAAGTCGGACGGATTTCCTTCCAATCCAATCCAATCCAAATCCAATTTCAATTAGTGATGGCAAATGAATATCGATGTTTTCGAAACATCGATGTTTATCGTTTCAAACATCGATGTTTTAACATCGGTTTTTGCAGTACGATATATATCGAGCAAATATATGCATATATATCGAGCATCGATGTTTTTACCCAAAAACATCGATTATTGCTCTTAATAGGTTATCAGCGGTTATTTATGTAGTTTTTTGTCAAACCTGAACCAGAAAAGCATTGCTCGAGCTATAATATTTTTATTTTGAACGAAATTTTACATTAAAAGTATAATTTAACTGACTAGATACAGTATAAATAGTCTGAACACAGGCCAACGAGATGGACACGGACACGGCAGACGACAGCTCGCTACAAATTACTCGCTGGCGCTGCTGGCCTGCTTGCTACACACTGAGCTAAAATTATAACTGGAGGTAGCACTGCCATGGCAGAAGTCTGTCAAAAGTGAGTCGCTGATTTTGTTAGGTTGGTATAGCAGTAAGTTTTATTACCATAGCAATAACATGGCTTCTTATAACTAGGTTGGTATAGCAGTGAGTATTTTTGTCATACTTGAATACTTTTAATACTTTAATAATTTTCTTTGAAATGGCGAACATACAAAGTAGGTATTTTAAGCCAAGTATAATAATAGTTATAGCAATAATATGGCTTCTTATGGACACCCACCTCACGCAAACATGGCGGCTGGCGACACGCATCTTTGACATTCAGTGCTACCTCCAGTTAGAATTATAGCTCAGTGTTGCTACAGAACAGTTACCGATTTATTTGACTTATTTTGTGCTTATTTTGCAATTTTACACCAACGTTATATAATATTATGTAATATGAGGTTCCTTTATTTTATGTTAATTTAACAATTTATTTTCAGTTAAAACGTTTGTTAGACCAATAAAACATATCACTTAATATGGATTTATTTTTATTTAACATTCTTATACTTTTCTGTGGGGTTTTAAAATTTTTACAAAATCCAAATTTTTAAATATCAATGTTAAATAATCTAAAAAAAACAATAAATAATTGTTTTATTGTGTTCTTTTGTTGTTAGAATGTTGTTTACTTGCGCCACTAGCATTTCCCCCCTTCTTTTACATTATTTTTCTCGTCGATGTTAAAACATCGATGTATTAAAAACATCGATGTTTAGGACTCGATATTTTTATGCCATCGATTTCTTTTGATCGATACATCGATGTATCGAAACATCGATGTTTTGAGAAATTTTGCCATCACTAATTTCAATTCTTCCAATTCCAATGGTCCAATCTAACCATTACTGTACCATCATTCCAGTTTTCACGTTTTCAGTGTTTCACTCCAAAGGACCACTAGGACTCTGGACTCTGGACTAGTGTGACTACTGACTATTTTTTCCCAATCCCAACCCAACCCAACAGTAACAGTCAACACAACACTCAGACTCAACACTGCACTGCACTGCTTGCATTTTGCTTAGTGTGTGTGTGTAGTTTCTAGTTTGTTTATTTAACTTAATACATTATACACAGTAATACAATAATACAATTACAAAAGAGTTGCACAAAAAATTTTGAAAACTGAAGAAAGAAGAAAAGAAATGAAATGTGAAGCACAGACACAAGAATAGTTTCAAAATAAAAGATTAAAATAAACTTTTTCTAGGGACAAATTCTTATTGAGCACAAAAAAAACTAGTCTTCGAAATTGAAAGGGCGTATTTATTGAAGACTTAACATTTTCATGTAGATAAAGGTCTGTCGACTCCTTCTTGTTATCCTATGTAACTGTAACTCGAGTTTGTTGTGTTCTTGTGATTGCCGAATGCCGAACTAACTAGGGCCTTTTATATTATAACGTTTACGGTTATTTTTACAAAACCAGAATGACACTAGTGGCCAATTTTAGTGAAATTGATCCAAGTTCTTTTTCTAATCCTGGTAAGTTTTCGTCCTACATGATAGGCCTAACTTTAAGTATAGTAATCAATAATCAGTAGAGTTTGACATCGTGTGTTTCATCATTGACTAAGCGTTATATAGGCCCTAGTCAATGGTTTCATGTTGATTACTTACACAAGGCTAACTCTTATGCCTAGGCCAAACTTAACTTTTAACTTCTTTAATGTTTGTTTAAAAAGTGGAGGGTTTAAGTTGCTTGGAAATTTGCTCTCTAATTACAAAAACTAAGACTAGGGCTGCAGTTCCGTATAGGGCCTACGATATATTATCGGATGAATAACGATATTACCGGTAACTTAGGCTATCAAAACTTGTTTGGTTCGATATAAGTTACCGGTATCGATTAACTGATATAATTCTCTTCTTGAATAAACATCGATTTAAAAATAGTTTATTTACGTTTTTATTAATAACTTTTTTAACTTAATACTTAAATATAACCTAAAATAGGGTCATTTGTGGGAAAGACGTCAGGCAGCTGCCATCTTGAAGGCGGAGCCTTTGGTAGTTGGCTGTGCTTACGCAGCCATAAAGGATTGGCTGGTCAAGCAAGCTCAGGAGCTGAGTCCCTACTTCAGGGAAATCTCGCTACAGCTTGCCCCAGCCACAGACCTTGTGAAAGCTGTGAAGGTATATTTATGTGCCCAGCCCTACAAGGTCTGTGTATAAGATCCCTTGGCCTATTGACGGGAGATCAAAGGGAAGAACAGGTTACCATAGTCATAAGGTTCTCACGGTTCACTAAGGAACTGGGGTGAGGACCTGTGAATGAGGGTGCACAATAAGCTGTTCTAGCTGCGATGCAATCCCATGGTCACTTGTAAGCCTGGCCCTTTGATAAAAAAAGGGGGTAAAAATCCGGGAGGTAGGCCTAGATGGTAGTTACAAGAACAACATTTGTTCTTGTAACTACCATCTAGGCCTACAGTACTTCTGAAGAAGCCTCTGAAAGAGGCGAAATATCTAGTATTATTATGTGTGTGATTTTATGTGTTCTTTGACTCGTCTACAACCTTTCATCAGGTGAGTTAGCTGTGTCCTCTCCATCCTATATTATTTATTTAATCCAAGCTAAATGCTTTTTCCTAAAAACATAACCTTAAAATAAAATTGTCTATATTATTTAAGTTACCGGTATTTTAAAGGCCAATTTATTTTAACAGTAGGCTAAATGTTATTTCCATTTAATTTTTGTTATAGAAAATGCTGTGGTTTCATCAATTTCCCTACATTTGCTGGTGGATTTTACCAAGAAAACTCTGGTTGGAAAAGTTAAATTGCATGTAAAGAAAATTAAGGAAGGAACTAACTACATTGTAAGTACTGTAAAGAAAAAAGAAACTTTGACATCAATTTTTATATATTTAAATATGTATTCAAATATATTTTTCACTCTCCTTGTTATCACCTCAATTACTCTCTAACAATTTAATCTTTACAAATTTTGGTTGCCCCTGGGTTGGAAGAACTGAGAATAATATAAACAACAAAGCGTTGGCAGTGGAAGCTTGATGTTAAAATAATATTTGAGTGGGCCCTGTAGAATAAAATTATCCCCAGAAGTCCCTATGGGACGTCCCTGGCACTGTTTGGAGTTCTTCCAGACTGAAATACCCTCAATAAATCTTAAAGTACACTGAATTTACTCTGCACATTGCCACACTAAACCTAGTGTTGCACTAAATGTGAATCTTTTGCAGTGGCCCTTCTTACTCACTATATAATAATAATAATAATAATAATAATAAAAATCTTTATTTGTCATAAGGATACATTAGATCATCGACAAAGTCAAAATCATGATTATACATCAATTGTCAAACAAAACAAAATCAAAACACTTTCAATATTTTGAAAAAACAATAGAGGGCTTAATAACTAAAATATGTACAAATGACTAAACAAACAAACAACAATATAAGGACCTGATAAAGCAACAGGTTAGCAGCAGGGTTATACAATCAAAGATTTATTTGGCCAGATTTGAACAAATCGTCCAGGCTATAAGAAGGGTTGTCTAGTAGCCAATTATAAAACAAGGACTTAAATTTTTCTTGCGGATAAGCATCAATATTGTGTTTTAAAAGGTTATATACTTTAGTTGATAACACTATGTGGCTCTTGCTAGTCTTACTCAGACGATGTGATTCTAACAAGGCACTATTTTTAAATCTGGTGTTGTGATTATGATTATTGAATTTTAGGTAATGGGGTTTTTTTAAGATATAAAGGGCAAGATCATAAATAAACAAATTTATTACAGTTTGAATCTTAAAATCCTTAAAAAGAGGCTTGCAGTGCTCGTCTGGCTCTGATCCATTCATAGCTCTGATAGCCCCCTTCTGTAGGATTAAAATTTCATTAATTCGTCCACACCCACCCCAGAATATCAATCCATATCTCATTACAGACTGAAAATATGCAAAATAAGCCGATCTCAAATAGTTCTTTGGAATTACATCTTTGAGACGACCAAGAAGAAAAATTACTCGAGATAGTCTAGTAGACAAATAATTTATATGCTCATTCCAGGATAGTTTATGATCAATATGAAGACCCAAAAATTTTGTAGTGACAGCACTATTTTCATTATTTAAGGCAGAATCGTGTTTCAATGTAAATTTTATTTCTTGAGTTTTACTGTCATTCAATAGAAAGCCATTGGCATGAAACCATTTGGATGCGTTTAATTTTGTGACTTGGACTAAATTTTGAAGTACAAGTTGGTTATTGTTTTCATGAAAAAAAGTTGTATCATCCGCGTACAGAATAGTTTTAGTATTTATTGCCATTGGAAGGTCATTAATGTAAATTAAAAACAGAAGTGGGCCAAGGACTGATCCCTGTGGAACGCCCCAAGTTACTTCCCTTTCTTGTGACTTTTTCCCATTAGAATTTACTAGTTGTTTCCGGTTTTTTAAATAAGATGAAAGAAAATTTAGAGAAGATCCGTTAAACCCATACAGTTCTAACTTTTTAATAAGAATTTCAAAGTCAACACAATCAAATGCTT